ATAGAATCAAGATCAGGTGAAGGGTTAATACCACTTTACAAGGCCTTGGTAAGGCCACACTTGGAATACAGCGTCCAGCTTTGGTCACCACGATGTAAAAAAGATACTGAGACTAGAGTGCAGAGAAGAGTAACAAAGATGATTAGGGGACTGGAGGCTAAAGCATATAAGGAACGGTCGCTGGAATTGGATATGTCTAGTTTAACGAAGAAAAGGATGAGGGGGGACATGAAAGCAATCTTCCAATCTCTCAGGGGTGCCCCAAAGAAGAGGGAGTCAAGCTATTCTCCAAAGCACCTGAAGGCAGGACAAGAAGCAACAGATGGAAACTCATCAAGGAGAGAAGCAACCTAGAACTAAGGAGAAACTTCCTGACAGTGAGAACAATTAATCAGTAGAACAACCTGCCTCCAGAAGCTTTGAATGCTCTAACACTGGAAGTTTTTAAGAAGAGATTGGACAGCCATTTGTCCGAAATGGTATAGGGTTTCCTGCCTGAGCAGGGGGGTTGGACTAGATGACCTCCAAGATCTCTTCCAACTTTATTATTACTATTATAATGAAATATGGAATATGGCAATAAACGATAAATTTAACAACAGAAATTAAGTTTAAAAAAGGGATGATTAAAGTAAATAATTATAATGAAACATGGGGTGATTTTATAAAAACAGTCTTGGTGGAAAGCAAAGGGAATAAACCTGCTCAAGAATAAATGCTGTTTTGGAGGGGATAAGGGCACAATCGAAATGTATTGCATATTGTTAGTTGTTATATGAGAAGAAATATAGGTAATAAAAATGGTGTCCAGGGGGGTGGGTGCACTATAGTATTTGTATTTTTTTATACTGTTTTTTATTTAGACATATGTATTATGTTTGTATTATTTGTATGTGAATACAATTTTAATTTTAATTTTAAAAAAAATTGAGGTCACGTTCCGGGTGGATTCACATTTTGTCTGTCCTGCCCTTCGCTCCAAACTCGATCCCATTCTTGCTTTCTCGGAACGACGGGCGGCGTTGATGTATGAATAATCACTCTAATTGCTGCTTTCGGTGGGTGGGTGCTGATAGAATAAAAGCCTTTGAGTCAGCTCAAAAAAGGAAAAAGGGAATTTAGGCAGGTTTTTTTTTTTTTATAAAAAGGAACAGGCTTCCCTTTCTTTCATCAACCTCTTGACAGGACCCGCCAAGGATCGTGACGGTTTTTCAAGGGATTTTATTTTAGGAAAGAGCGATTAGAGGGCAGAGATTCCTCCGTATCTTAAAATGGCAGCTCGTCCTCGACTTAACAATTCGTTTAGTGACTGTTTGAAGCGATAAATGGCACGGAAAAAAGGACCGTTTTTCAGACTTAGGACTGTCGTAGCATCCTTAGGAAATGGGGTGTAGGGTCTCTTGCTTGGGGGCGGCGGGTTGGACTAGATGACCTGCAAGGTCTCTTCCAACTCCGTTCTTCTAATTCGCGGGGTCAAAAATGTGGACGATTGACAACTGGCTCAGATTTATGACGGTTGCACTGTGGCGGGGTCGCGCGATGCCCATTTGTGAGCTTCCCAGCCAAGCCGAGTCAGTGGGGGGAGCCAGTCCTCAGACTTACAACCATTGCAGCAAGTAATATCAGAATTCAGGTGCTTGGCAACTGACTCATATTTACGACGGTGGCAGCATGCCGGGATCACGTGATCCCCGTTTGTGACCTTCTAAGCAAAGTCAATGGGGGAAACCGGATTTACGTTAACAACCGTCGTCCTAACTTAACAACTGCAGTGATTCGTTTAACAACTGCAGCAAGAAAGGTCCTAAAACGGGGGCCAAGCTCTCTGAACAACCGTCTTGCTTTGCAACGGAAAAATTGATCTCGAGACTAGACATTTACCTGTCCGAGATGGTATAGGTTCTCCTGCTTGAGCAGGGGGCTGGACTAGAAGACCTCCAAGGTCCCTTCCAGTTCCATTCTATTCAAAGGACTACCTGGGCCATTGAAACGAAGATTCGGATAGGAGGGGCAGAATTTAAATCTGAATTTTTGGTGACCGGGTTCAACAAAAATTCACAAGAGGAAATTTAGGGGTGTGAGCATGAAGTCATCGCCAAGTCAAGCCAGCTGGATTTCCCAGGGGGAAGATGGGGTGCATATATCAGCCGGAAGGAACGGGGAAAGAACGAAGGTGACGCCTGGATGAGATGGATTTATATTCCTGTGACTGGAAACGCCTGGCGAAGTCCCAGCTGTCTGGGTGCAGGGTGCCGAAAGAGACTTGATATTATAAATTCCCATTTGTGCAGCCATGATTTGTGCGGCTAATTAGGCAGAAGAAGAATGCAACACACCTAGGATTCTTCAGCAAACTTTTTTTTAGCTTGGGAGGGCTAATATTTAGTTCCGGCACTAATAGAAACGCTCATTTTAGATAGTAGAATAATTTATAATTTACATTATATATAGGTGATCCTTGACTGACGAGTGCAATTCAGCTCAAAATTTCTATTGCTAATTGTGAAGTGAATTTTGCCCCGTTTTACGACCTTCCTTGACCCAGTGGCTATGTGAATCACTGCAGTTGTTAAACAAGTAACAAGGTTGTTAAGTAAATCCGGCTTTTCCCAGGGGTCTTCAAACTAGACCCTTTTAAGACTTGTGGACTTCAACTCCCAGAATTCCTCAGTTGGCCATTTTGATGAACCGGCAGGCTTAGATCCAGACCAGGAGTCTTCAAACTTGGTCCTTTTAAGACTTGTGGACTTCAACTCCCAGAATTCCTCAGTCGGCCATTTTGATGAAGCTGAGGGCTTAGATCCAGACCAGGGGTCTTCAAACTTGGTCCTTTTATGACTTGTGGACTTCAACTCCCAGAATTCCTCAGTCGGCCATTTTGATGAAACCACGGGCTTGGATCCAGACCAGGGGTCTTCAAACTTGGCCCTTTTAGGACTTGTGGATTTCAATTCCCAGAATTCCTTAGCCAGCTGCCTGGCAGAGGAATTCTGGGAGTTGAAGTCCACAAGTAATAAAAGGGACATTGTTCCCTCACGCTGGCTGAGGAATTCTGGGAGTCGAAGTCCACAAGCAGGGGTCTTCCAACCTGGCCCTTTGATGACTTGTGGACTTTGACTCCCAGAAATCCTCAGCCAGTGTGCCTGGTAGAGGAATTCTGTAAGTTGAAGTCCACAAGTCATAAAAGGGCCAAGTTTGAAGACCCCTGCTTGTGGATTTGAACTCCCAGAATTCCTCAGCCAGGCACGCTGGCTGAGGAATTCTGGGAGTTGAAGTCTACAAATCATAAAAGGGACATAGTTCCCTCACGCTGGCTGAGGAATTCTGGGAGTTGAAGTCCACAAGTCATTAAAGGGCCAAGTTTGAAGACCCTGCAATAATGTCTGCAGGGTTTTAGTTAGGCAGAGTTAGGTAGCAGTGCCAGGGAGACGGAGAGAGCAAATATGCATGGCATTATTGCATTTTGATTGCCAGGAAACACAGGGGATTTTCTCAGGTGTCAACATAAATTGTCTGGCCCAAGTTAACCTAACGAAAAAGCCAAGTTCATACAGGTCTGGCCAGGCTTCAATTGCTCTTCCTGCAGCTTGCTTGTTCTTCATACCGTATCATGTTTACCTTTAGTTTTATTTATCCAATTTACATGGCACCCTTCTCCCCATCCAGCGACTTTGGGCGGCTTACCAGTTTTTTATTGAAGATTTTTTTCCCCCATTCCCTGGGATAAATGATGTAGAAAGGAGAATTAGGAGAAAGGAAAAATAGTAACAAACTATACAAAGAAGGAAAGAAAAAGAGAATTAAAGAAACAAGTTCTGGTCTTCCTTCTTCACAGCATTTGCAAACCGACTTATATTTCCCTCCTTCTTGAGACTGTATCACATAGTTCTCCTCTATCCTTTGAATCGGCGCATCCAGAAATCCCCATTTCATTCCCTCCCCATTTTCAGCCAGAGGTCCATAAGAGATTTCCAGAGCGGCTTTGCAGAGTGAGACAGGTGGCGTATAAATTTAATTGAGAAGCAAATAAATGTAATAAATAAAATAAATATAATAAGTAAATGTGGTCAGTGCATTTGAGAAATGAATAATCTGATAAATGCAATAAATAAACGAAATAAAGGTAATAACCAAATGTAATAAATAAAATACATTAAATAAATGTGATCAACACATTTAATAAATGAATAATTTGATAAATGCAATAAATAAATGATAAAGATAATAACCAAATGTAATAAATAAAATACATTAAATAAATGTGATCAACGCATTTCATAAATGAATAATTTGATAAATGCAATAAATAAACGAAATAAAGGTAATGACCAAATGTAATAAATAAAATACATTAAATAAATGTGATCAACACATTTCATAAATGAATAATTTAATAGATAAATGCAATAAATAAAGGTAATAAAGGTAATAACCAAATGTAATAAATAAAATACATTAAATAAATGTGATCAATGCATTTTATAAATGAATAATTTAATAGATAAATGCAGTAAATGAAGATAATAAAAGTAATAACCAAATGTGACAAATAAAATACATTAAATAATCTAGTCCAACCCCCGCTCAAGCAGGAGACCCTGGCAAAATGACAGAATAGCACAGTTGGAAGGGATCTCGGAGGTCATCTAGTCCAACCCCCCGTTCAATGCCCCACGCCCTTCAGCAAATCCCTCTTCTGCTGGTGACCCTGGCAGTCGGCCCCCCACCTCTATTTCTTTGATGCTCCCCACTCCCGCGATTCAAATGCTCGTAATCTCAAAGAACTTAAAATAAATTTAAGTTTAAGAAATCTAAATTTGCCAACCGCGCAGATAGCACCGTTCGCAGTGAATGAATGAATGAATGCACATATGAATGAATGAATGGTGACGTAATGGGTGCAATGCTTTCTGGGAGGAGCGGCCGCCGCGCTCGCTCGCTCGCTCGCGCGGGGCAGGCCGGGATGCAGCGCGGCAAAGCTCCAGACTGGTTCCGGGAGAGGCGTGGCCTGCGAGGGTCTCTCCCGCGCACGCGCGGTGCGGGCTGGACCTCCGCGTGCCGCGCGGATTGCAAAAGGTGGCGGCGTTGCAAGCAGCGGGTGCAAGATGCGCGATCCTGTGATCGCTTTTCCGCGGGATCCTGTGGCGATCCAGTAGGAGCGGCAGCCAAGAGGCAAACTTTGGGCCGGGCGTCTGCTGTAAGTCTTGCAATCTTCTGAATTTTGATTGGAATCTTCCAGCCTTCCCCTTTTTGATTTTTGGCTCTTTTTTCTTTGCACGGATTCTCTGCAGGCAGAAATGCAACCGGTGAGGCGGCGAGGAGAGGGGCATCTCAACCAGCCCGGCCTTTCCTGGGGTGGCCCCTCACTTTCCTTGACCGTTGATTTGCACTTTCTCCTGGCTGTTGGTGGATTAAAAACGAGCTCTCCTGGGTTGGATATTTTATGACCTTTGACCCTTGGCAGTGTAACTTCAGTCTAAACCAGGGGTCTTCCAACGTGGCCCTTTGATGACTTGTGGACTTCAACTCCCAGAATTCCTCAGCTAGGTACACTGGCTGAGGAATTCTGGGAGTTGAAGTCCACAAGCTGGGGGTCTTCAAACTTGGCCCTTTGATGACTTGTGGACTTCAACTCCCAGAGTTCCTCAGCCAGGCACGTTGGCTGAGGAATTCTGGGAGTTGAAGTCCACAAGTCAGAAAAGGGCCAAGTTTGAAGACCCCTGGCCTAAACTGACTTTGAAACTCTGGATGTTGGTTTTGAAGGGAAACCCCCACCCCTTAAATTAATTTTATTTAATTATAGTGAAATTATGCATTATAAATTGAATACACACAGAGAGACGCACATGCACACAAACACACAGACACATATTGTATTTTACTGTGTTATTAATTTAGATGAAATGTGAATATATATTGTGAGTCCATGTTTGTTATGTCATATGCTAAAAAAGTCCACAAGTCATCAAAGGACCAAGTTGGAAGAACTCTGCTTGTGGACTTCAATTCCCAGACTTCCTTAGCCAGCGTGAGGGAACTATAGCCCCTTCATGATTTGTGGACTTCAACTCCCAGAATTCCTCAGCCAGGCACAATAAAAAAAATGTTTCGCGCCATTATTATTTTTGCAAATAATTTGAAGCAACAAACAGCCAACACACAGGAGGGAGAGAGAGAGAGAAAATATTATATATTATGTAAAGTTATATGTAGCACCCGATGACTTTGATTGGATGGAATGATTGGATATTCAAAAAGTTGTTTAAAGTGTAATGTGTTGAAGTGTCCAATGCACACTCAGGGTTTAGCCTGCTCTTTCTTTTGTCCATTTCATCCCCACCACACCCCTGTGAGGTGGGCTCAACGAGACTGTGTAACTGCCAGAATATTTTTAACCTGGATTTTTTTTCCTGGCCTTGTTACAGCAAGCGGATCCCTGCTGCATATGTTTTATTTTTATGTATTAAATTTATATGTTTTGTTTTGTTATTTATTTATTACATCTACGTGGTGTCGGTCTTGCGGTCCAAAGTGACTGTTTTTCTTGTTGCTAATTTCCTTGATTTTCCCTCCGGCAGTCCTGCTGAGCTGTCCAGAAGGATGGCACCCCCTGCCCACCGCCACAAAGCAGCGAAAAGCAGCAAAGAGCGGAAGAGACGTGCTGCTAAGACGGGGAAAGGAGACCCAGAGGAGATCAAAGGAGGAGGTGTTCCCAAAATGGAGCCCGCAGTGGCGGGTTATTTCCACCAGGCGCACGAAACCTTCAAGTCTGGCTTTGCCTCCGATGAGGAGAAAAGTAAGATTTGTTCACAGAGGGATTGAGGGAGACAGAGCCCTTTGAAAGCTTGTGGAAACAGTCCTCGAGTTACGACCGTAATGGAGCCTGCCCACCACCACGGTCGTAACTCATGATGTTTGTAAATCGGGTTCTCCATGCGAGTGACCCAATTTTAGGACCATTTTTGGAGCAGTTGTTAAGCGAACCAGTGGTTCACTATAAGGTGGCTTGAGCGTAAGCGGGACGTATACATGCCAGTGTTTGGCAAAATGGCCATAAAATGTAGTCACGTGACTGGGGGGTTGCTGTAAACCGGGGGTCTTCAAACTTGGCCCTTTGATGACTTGTGGACTTCAACTCCCAGAATTCCTCAGCCAGGCATGCTAGCTGAGGAATTCTGGGAGTTGAATTCCACAAGTCAGCAAATGGCCAAGCTGGAAGACCCCTGCTTGTGGACTTCAACTCCCAGAATTCCTCAGCCAGGAAGACCCCTGCTACAAATTGCTGTAAGAGGTCATGTGAGTACAAGGGGTAGCCATTGGTCTTTCAAATCTGGGTTGTAAGTACCCCCATGGAAGTCTGTTGTAAATTCAAACAGTTGGTAAGCGATCGGTCATAAGTTGAGGAGTACCGGGCCATAGCCTCACCCATTGGCATTCAGAAATTTGGGAATACAGGAGTTGTTTTTTTTTGTCGGGAGGAATTCTGGGAGTTGAAGTCCCTACATCTTCAACTTGCCAAGGTGGAGAAACACTGTTTAGTGCAGCGGTTCTCAACCTGTGGGTCGTGACCCCATTTGGGGTTGAACGACCATTTCACGGGGGTCGCCAAACAACGCGATCTGCCATTTTTTTCTCAGCTGGCGGCACCGCGCATGGGGACGCAACCGCGCATGCGCACTGCGCATGCGCGCTGCGTCCTTATGGCTGGGGTCGCCGGTATAAAAAGGTTGAGAACCACTGGTTTAGCGAGCATTGGAAGCACCGAAAAGACAATTTTAATGAAAAGACAATTTTAACAATTGCTCCTCACACTTAACGACTGTTGTGGCATTCTGACCATCAAGTGATCAAAATTTGGGAGATTGGCATGTACAGGCAGTCCTTGACTTACGACCACAATTGAGCCCCAAATGTCCATTGTTAAGTGACACATTTGTTAAGTGAATTTCGTCCCGTTTTACGACCTATCTTGCCACCGTTGTTAAGTGAATCACTGCAGTGGATAAGTTAGTAACCTGGTTGTTAAATAATTCCGGCTCTCCCACCCCCCACCCCCAATTGACTTTGCTGGTCAGAAGATTGCAAAAGGGATCACATGATCCTGGGACGCCGCCACTGTCATAAGTACATGCCAGTTTCCAAGCGTCTGGATTTTGATCACGTGACCATGTGGGGATGCTGAAAAGGCCGTAACTGTGAAAAACGGTCCTCAATCCCTTTTTCAGTGCCGTTGCAACTTTGAGCGGACACTAAACGAACTGTCATAAGTCGAGGACTGCCTGTATTGACAACGGCTGCAGCCTCCCCGGGGACGTGATAGCCGGCTTCCGATAAATAAAAGCAATGGGGGGGGGGGAATGCCAGATTTGCTTAATGACTGTGCGATTCCCTTAACGACTGGAGGGATTCGCTGAACGACCGTGGGCCGAAAAGCTTGCAAAAACTGGGCCCGACTCCATTTAATAACCGCCTCGCTTAGTGAGGGAAGTTCTGCTCTCAATTGTGGTCGTAAGTCGAGGACTCCCTATAACACGCCTTATTTTTGCCTTATTTTAGGTTAGATTATATTGTATGTATTGTTTTATTTTATTGTTTTATATATTTTATTTTAGATTATATTTTATGCATTTTATTATATATTATTATTTATTTATTTTATTATCGTATTTTAGATTATATTTTATTACATATTATTTTATTTTAGATTATAGTTTAAGTATTATTTTATTTTAGCTATTGTTTTATTTTATTGTTTTGCTTTCTAGCGTTTTGTGTATTTGATATATTATTTTGTTTCTTTTGTTTTATTATTTTATTGTGTATTTTATTTTAGATTATATTGTATGTATTATTTTATTACTTTGCTTTGTTTTGTTTATTATTGTTTTATTTTTATCTACAGGCCTGTTTGTGAGCAACGTCCTGACGGAGGCCGTCGCTGTGGCGCTGCCGCTGGCCCTGGATCCGTCCGGGTCGCTGCTCCTCCAGGCGCTGCTGCCTTCGGCCTCGGGGGCCAGCTTGGAGCCCCTGCTCCGGGCCCTGCTCCCCTCCCTGCGCCTGGTGGCCTGCCACCCCTGCGGAGCCCACATCTGGGAGGGGGCCCTGTGGAGAGCCCCAGCGCTGATCTCGGACGGGGGAGAGGAGTCCCAAGCGCTGGAGGAACTTGTCCTGGATCTGGGGAAGGGTCTTCAGGAGGAGCTGTCGACTTTCGCCTTGGATGCCCACGCCAGCTTTGTGGTGCGGACCCTGTTGCAGGTCCTGGGAGGGGCCCGAGTCGGGTCAGACGGGGGACGGGGGCTCCCAGGCTCAGGTGAGTGGTGGCCATTGAATACGTCCCCCATCATGTGATGGGGGTGTGTGTGTGTGGAGGGGATGGAAGCCGTCCCCTGCTTTTGGGCATCTCAAGAGTTTCCTGCGTGTTGAGATCCAGGGTGGGAAGGATGTGGGAATGATGAGACCTGGGTTAATGACTCTCCTCAGTTCTAGGAGGTTTCTGGGTGACTCCGAGTCAGCTGTTTCTGCTCAGCTCACTGTATCTGTTTTTGTTTTTATTTTATTTTAATATTTTATTTTTTATGTATTTTATTTTTTATGTATTTTTTATTTATTTTATTTTTATTTGATTTTATTATTATATTTTATTTATTATTTCATTATATATTATTTCTTATTATTTTAGTTGAGATTATATTTTATTATATGTTATTTTAGTTGAGATTATATTTTATGTATTGTTTTATTTTATGTTACGTTTTATGTATTTTATATATTTTATTTTTTATTTTATTTATTATTTTTTATGTATTTTATTTTTATTTTATTATTTTTTATGTATTTTATTTTATTTATTCTTTTATTTTATTCTTTTATTACATATTTCTTATTTTCTTATTTTAGTTTAGATTATATTTTATTGCATATTATTTTAGTTTAGATTATATTTTATGTATTGTTTCATTTTATTGTTTTATGTTATGTTTTATGTATTTTATATATATATATTATTTTATTTTAGATTATATTTTATGTATTTTATTTTATTATTATATATTATTTTTTATGTATTATTTTCTTTTAGATTATATTTTATGTATTGTTTCATTTTATTGTTTTATGTATTTTATATATTTTTTATTATTTTATTTTAGATTATATTTTATTATATATTATTTTAGATCAGTGGTTCTCAACCTGTGGGTCGGGACCCCATTTGGGGTCAAACGACCATTTCATGGGGGTCGCCAAACAAGGCTGTCCGCCATTTTTTCCCCCTTTTCTTTGGCCACGCCCCTGGCACCCAGTGATGTATAAGTGGTTGGGGGTCACCACAACATGGAGAACTGTATTATGGGGTCGCGGCATTAGAAAGGTTGAGAAGCACTGTTTTAGATTATATTTTAAGGATGATTTTATTTTATGTATTGTTTCATTTTATTGTTTTGCTTGATATTATTTTGCGTATTTTACATATTTTATTTTATTTCTTTGGTTTTATTGTTTTATTATATGTTTTATTTTAGATTACGTTTTATGTATTGTTTTATTATTTTGCTTTGTTTTGTTTATTATTTTATTTTTATTTACAAATAACAGATGAAGTCCTAAGCTCAACATATGCTGTCCTCAACCTAAGGAACTTCAAGTCCCAGAATTCTGGCTGGGGAATTCTGGGAGTTGAAGTCCACAAGTCTTAAAGTGACCAGGGTTGGACACCCTTGGTTAATGCCCTATTTTGCCAGGTGTTTGCAGCAAGCAGAACTGTATGAATCGTTTCCATGTGGGAAAATCAGGGCCTCTGATTCACACCTTCCCCTTTTTTGCCCACTTCCGCCATCTTAGGGCTTCTTCGTCCCCGGGCCAAGAGTTCAAAGGTCGGGAGCGAAGGACCAGCGGTGTTCGAGGTCCCCGCCAGCTTCCTCTCCCTCCTGCAGGAATTCAAAGGCTGCTTCCAGGAACAGATTGCAGGTGAGATGCCGCCATCTGCTGGGCAGGTGGAGAAACAGCAGCCTTGCACAGCTCTTGAGGGAGTCCTCGCTTAATGGCAACAAGGGAGCGTGGGATTTTTTGTGATAAGTAGTTGTGGTGGTTAAGCGGGTCTCCAGAAGTGCTGACTCGATCTTACAACCATTTGGCTGGAAGGGACCTTGGAGGTCATCCAGTCCAATCCCCTATACCAGGGGTTCTCAACCTGTGGGTCGGGACCCCATTTAGGGTCGAACGACCATTTCACGGGGGTCGCCAAACAACGCAGTCTGCCATTTCCCCCCTTTTCCTTAGCTGTGCGACTCCCCTTTATTCTACTGGCTTTTGAAAGCCAATAGAATAGACTGTCTTGAATAGAGTCTAATTCTATTGGCTTTCAAAAGCCAGTAGGAATTGTCCAGGCTGTCTCTGCCCTGCTGAGCCCGCCAAAAGTCCCATTCTGCAAACGGTGCTGCACCAGTTGAGTAGTCCTCGACTTATGACCGGTTGAGTAGTCCTCGACTTACGACCGGTTGGGGGTCGCGGCATTAAAAAGGTTGAGAACCACTGCCCTATACCATTTCAGACAAATTTCAGACGTCTCCCTTAACAGATATTTTGGGGTCGTAAGTCGAGGACAACTGAATGTGTCTTGTGAGACATAAGCTAAAGAGGAACAGGACAAAAAAAATTCTGATGATGTTACCTAGTGTGGTAACAAAACGTTCCGAAACTAAATTGAAACCGGCTTGGAGAGCAAACTGCTGTCAAAATCTAAAACCCGAGCTACAAGTATTTCCTGTTATTTCAAAGGTATAGAGGTATATAGATAACATTTATATGTCTTTCCTGGCCTGACCTTAACCAAGATTCCCTGCTATTAAACTAACCCTGTTTTCCCTCTAGATTTCATCACCAACAAATGTTTCAGCCTCTGCCTGCAGGTGGCGCTGGAGATCCTACATAGAAAGCTGCCTGAAATGAGTGCTGAGCTCTGCCGGTCTGTGATTGGCTACCTGAGCAGCTGCAACCCAGCTGCAGCTGGGCAAAGGTGAGTGTTGGGATTGGCTGGATTGTTGCAGGGATTGCAGTGGCTGAGGAATTCTGAGAGTTGAATTCCACAAGTCATCAAAGGGCCAAGTTTGAAGACCCCTGCTTGTGGACTTCAACTCCCAGAATTCCTCAGCCAGCGTCCCTGGCTGAGGGATTCTGGAGTTGAAGTCCACAAGCAGGGGTCTTCAAACTTGGCCCTTTGGTGACTGGTGGACTCCAACTCCCAGAATTCCTCAGCCAGGCATGCTGGCTGAGGAATTCTGGGAGTTGAATTCCACAAGTCATCAAAGGGCCAGGTTTGAAGACCCCTGCTTGTGGACTTCAACTCCCAGACTTCCTCAGCATGCCTGGCTGACGAATTCTGGGAGTTGAAGCCCACAAGACATAAAAGGGCCAAGTTGGAAGAGCCCTGGTCTAGACACACTTTAGCATTAAAACCTTTGACTTACAACCATCATTCAAAGCTACAACGGCCCCGAATAAAGTGACTTAGAACCAGTCCTCGCACTTGTGACCATTGCAGGCTCATGGGATCAAAATTTGGGTGCTTGCCTACCTTTACGACGAGGACAGCATCCCAGGTGATCCACCATTTGAGACCTTCCCAGCCGGCTTCTGACCAGCAAAGCCCAGGAGGGAAGCTGGATTCATCTTAATGGCCACACGATTCACTTAACGACCGCATATGTGGATGTGCATGATAAGGCAGAGGCGCATTGATGCGCCTGTCTCGTTTATTCCTCCCTCTTCAGCAGCCTCTTGGTGTTTCTGAAGGACGCGACCTGCAGCCGGGTTCTGGACAAAGTCCTGGAGGTGTCGGATGCGAAGGCGTTGCGCTCGTTCTACAAGGTGCACGTGAAGGGGCAGCTCCGCGTGTTGTCAGCTCACAAGGTGGCCAACTTCACCTTGCAGCGGCTGATCCAGGCCGCCTCGCGCAAACTGGTGAGAGAGGATTTGGGTGGTGGCCTCTCCGTTTGTGTAAATCGGGGTGCTGCCGTGGGGTGCTGCCGATTTTCGATTAATCTCGAAAAACTAAGCAGGGACAGGGCGGGTTAAGACTTCGAAAGGGTAGGAGCAGATTTTGGTTCCCCCCCAATGGCATGAGAGGCTGTTAAGGCACCAGGATAGAAACCAGGAGATGGTGAGTTCTAGTTTGCTTTAGGCATGAAAGCTGGCTGGGTACCTGGGCCAGTCGCTGAGTTCTAGTCCCACGCCCATCACTAGGAGAAAATTCTAGTCCCGCCGTAGGCATGAAAGCCATTGGTTGACTGGTTCAGTGACCAGGAGTGGTGAGTTCTAGTCCCACCCACCCTAGTCACGAAAGCTAGTTGGGTGACTGTGGGCCAATCACTAGGAGACGGTTCTAGTCCCGCCTTAGGCATGAAACCGACTGGTTGACTGTGGGCCAATCACCAGGAGACAGTGAGTTCTAGTCTCACCCTAGTCACGAAAGCCAGCTGGGTGACTATAGGCCATTCACTAGGAGACTGTGAATTCTAGTCTCATCCTAAGCATGAAAGCCAGCTAGGTGACCGGGCCAAATCAGGAGACAGTGAGTTCTAGTTCCACTCTAGTCACGAAAGCTAACTAGGTGATTGGGCTAATCACCAGGAGACAGTGAGTTCTAGTCCCACCCTAGTCACGAAAGCTAGCTAGGTGACTGAGCCAATCACCAGGAGATTGTGAATTCTAGTCCCATCCTAAGCATGAAAGCCAGCTAGGTGACTGGGCAAATCACCAGGAGACAGTGAGTTCTAGTCCCACCCTAGTCACGAAAGCCAGCTAGGTGACTGGGCCAATCACCAGGAGACAGTGAGTTCTAGTCCCACCCTAGTCACGAAAGCCAGCTTGGTGACTGGGCCAATCACCAGGAGACAGTGACTTCTAGTCCCACCCTAGTCACGAAAGCTAGCTAGGTAACTGGGCCAATCACCAGGAGACAGTGAGTTCTAGTCCCACCCTAGTCACAAAAGCCAGCTAGGTGACTGGGCCAATCACCAGGAGACAGTGAATTCTAGTCCTACCCGAGTCATGAAAACCAGCTGGGTGACTGGACCAGTCACTAGAAGACAGTGAGTTCTAGTCCCACTTTGGCATGAAAGCCGGCTAGGAGCCTTTGGGCCAATCACCAGCAGAGTGGGAATTCTAGTTCACCTTAACCAGGAAAGCCAGCTGAGTGACTTTGGACCAGTTACCAGGAGACGGTGAATTCTAGTCCCACCTTAGGCCTGAAAGCCGGCCGGGTGACTTTGGGCCCAACCCACCAACCCACCTCAAAGGGTTGTTGTTATTGTAGGGGAAATAGAAGGAGGGAGGAATAGGAGACACGTCCGCCACTTTGAGTTATGTGTGAAAATAATAAAATCGGGATAAGATTACCTGAGTCACACAGTAAGGGTCCCCCAGCTGCTCGTGATCCATTGCAGAGAGATCCATCAGATCCCTGCCGGCCTAGAAGAGGGGACGGGGCTCCTGAAGACCTCTTGGTTTAGGAGGGTCTTTTCACTCACACCCTGTCCCCAGCTGGGGAATCTTTTTCAGGAGCTGAGCCCCGGCTTGGAACAAATCCTGGCCCTGGAACATCTCGGCATCGTCACGGCGCTCCTGGGCGCCTGCCGGAAACACGGTGCCCACCAGCCGGAAGTGCTGCAGGTCCTTTTGGAGGTGAGCAAATCCTGCTTGGTTTCCTTGTTGCTCCTTTGCTCTTTGCTCCACCAAGTAATAATAATAATGATGATGAAGAAGAAGAAGAAGAAGAAGAAGGAGGAGGAGGAGGAGGAGGAGGAGGAGGAGGAGGAGGAGGAGGAGGAGAAGAAGAGAAGAGAAGAAGAGAAGAAGAGAAGAAGAGAAGAGAGAAGAAGAGAAGAAGAGAAGAAGAAGAAGAAGAAGAAGAGAAGAAGAAGAAGAAGAAGAAGAAGAAGAAGAAGAAGAAGAAGAAGAAGAAGAAGAAAAGAAGAAGAAGAGAGAAGAAGAAGAAGCAGCAGCTGGGAAAGCAGATAATAATAAAACCTGGCAATGGCTAAGAGCAGGAAAATTGAAGAAAGAGACTGAGGGACTAATTCTGGCTGCACAAGACCAAGCCTTAAGGACAAAGGCATACAAAGTCAAAATTGAGAAGACAGCAACAGACAGTAAGTGCCGCCTATGCAAAGAAGCTGAAGAAACAGTGGACCACTTGGTAAGCTGTTGCAAGAAGATTGCACAAACTGATTACAAGCAGCGGCATGACAAAGTAGCAACAATGGTGCATTGGAAGATCTGCAAAAAATATCATTTGCCTGTAAGCAAAAACTGGTGGGATCATAAAATAGAGAAAGTCATAGAAAATGATAAAATTAAACTGCTCTGGGACTTCAGAATTCAAACAGGCAAGCCCCTGCAACTTAACACCCCAGACTTAACAATTGTCGATAAAGACAAAAAAAGTCTGGATAGCGGACATGGCAGTGCCTGGAGACAGCAGAATAGACAAGAGAGAACTGGAAAAAATAACAAAATACAAAGACCTACAAATAGAAATAGAAAGACTGGCAAAGGCAAGCAAGGGTAGTACCAATAGCAATAGGCTCCTTGGGTGCAATCCCAAAACAACTGGAGAACCACTTGAACACCATTGGAATTGACAAATTCGCCATTAGTCAATTGCAAAAGGCGGCCTTACTAGGAACTGCTTCCATCCTGCGACGATATCTGTAATACCATCAAACATCCACATCTGCCTATCCCAGGTCCTGGGTAAGGACTCGATAGGTAGACAAAATGCCAAATCCAGTCTGAACATCTGGCTGACTGTGCGATGATCAATAATAATAATAATAAGTAATGATGATGACGATGACACGCTCTGAGGTAACATAAATGCCAAATCCAGGAACATCTGGCTGACTGTGCGATGATCAGAAGGTCAAGTGGGCAGGAGATGACAAATGGCTTCCAGTCTCTTCTTAGAAACTTTTTAAAAAATTGTTGGTTTTTTCCTTGCAGGCCTTCCACTGTTGGAAGCCCCGTGCCCGCCAGCGGGCCTGTGCCCCCCTCCTCGCCTCAAGGTCTACCCGGGACGACAGAGCCTGTTGCTAAGCCAGACATGTGTTAAGTTAGAGTTAAGCATATCGCTGCCATTGTGAAGTTAGGGACAGTGTTGCAAAGTGAATCGGGCTCCTCCAATGGACTGGGCTCGTCAGAAGGTCGCAAATGGGGATCACCACACACACACACACACACACACACACACACACACACACACACACACACACAAAACCCCGGGACGCTGTGACCGTAACAAATGTGAGTCACTTGCCAAATGTCTGCATTTCGATCACGTGAGGCTGCAAAGGTCGTAAGTGTGAAAACCAGTCGTATGTTGCATTCTGAGTGCTGTTGTAACTTTGAACGGTCACTAAGCAAGCTGTCGTAAGTTGAGAACTGCCTGTATTGACAAGGGCCGCAGCGTCCCACCGCTGTCATGAATGGGAGTCGGTTGCCCAGCGTCTCAATTTTGATCATGTGACCGTAGGGATGCTGCAAGGGTCGTAAGGTCGAAACATGGGCACAAGTCCCTTTTTTTCAATGTCGTCGCAACTTCGGACGGTCGCTAAACAAACGGTTGAAAGTCGAGGACTTTCTGCACCTGTGTTTGCATCATTTAAAGATCGGCAACAAACGAAGCAACAACAACAACAACAACAACAATAATAATAAAGTTGGAAGGGACCTTGGAGGTCATCTAGTCCAACCCGCTGCTCAGGCAGGAAACCCTACACCATTTCGGACAAATGGCTGTCCAGTCTCTTCTTAAAAACTTCCAGTGTTGGAGCCTTCACCGCTTCTGGAGGCAGGTGGTTCCACTGGTTAATTGTTCTCACTGTCAGGAAGTTTCTCCTTAGGTTGCTTCTCTTCTTGATTAGTTTCCCTCTCCATTGCTTCTAGTCCTGCCTTCAGGCGCTTTGGAGAATAGCTTGACTCCCTCTTCTTTGGGGCAGCCCCTGAGATACTGGAACACTGCTATCCTGTCCCCCCTTGTCCTTCTCTTTGTTAAACTAGACATACCCAATTCCTGCAACCGTTCCTTATATGTTTCAGCCTCCAGTCCCCTCATCATCTTCGTTGCTCTTCTCTGCACTCTTTCTAGTCTCAACATCTTTTTTTACATCGTGGTGACCAAAACTGGATGCCGTATTCCAAGTGTGGCCTTACCAAGGCCTTGTAAAGTGGTATTAATACTTCATGTGATCTTGATTCTATCCCTCTGTTAGTGCAGCCCAGCACTGTGTTGGCCTTTTTGGCAGCTGCAGCACACGGCTGGCTCCTATTTAAGGGATTGTCCACTAGGACTCCGAGGTCCCTCTCACAGTTACTACTATTGAGCAAGGTGCCCCCTGTACTATACCGGTGCATTTGGCTTTTCTTGCCTAAATAGAGAACCTTACTTTTTTTCATCCAGGCAGACACACCGCCGGCCCTGAGCACCGTCTCCTATCACGGCTCCCTGATGTTGCAGCACCTCCTCCATTTTGCAGACCCTTCCCTCGTGCTGCGCAGCATGGGCGCCACGCCGCCCGCGGACCTGGTCACCTTGGCGTGTGATCCCTCCGGGAGCCACGTCTTCGATGCCCTCTTGGCCAGTCCCTCCGTCCCCAAGAAGTCGAGGCGGAAAGTCTTGCTCCAGCTCAAGGTAAATCTCGGGGATTCTGCTCCGGGTGTGATAACGCTGTGATAACGCAAAGTCAAAGCTCTGCTGGCTTAGGTTCAACCTAAACATAGACCCGTGTTTCTCGATCTTGGCAACTTTTTAAGACATTCCCAGAATTCCCCAGCCAGCAAGGGAATTCTGGGAGTTGAATTCGACCTGCCTTGAAATCCCCAAGGTTGAAAAACACAGAAATAGATTCTTGGCTACTGTCAACCCATGGTCATTCAGGTGTCAAATTCAAGTTCTGGAGGGATTCATTTCACAGGGTTTCTAGTCCTCAAGGCAAGCAGGAATTCTGGGAGTCGAATTCTACGTGCCTTGAAATCACCAAGGTTGAAAAACACAGAAATAGATTCTTGGCTACTGTCAACCCATGGTCATTCAGGTGCCAAATTCAAGTTCTGGAGGGATTCATTTCATAGGGTTTCTAGTCCTCAAGGCAAACAGGAATTCTGGGAGTTGAATTCTACCTGCCTTGAAATCCCCAAGGTTGAAAAACACAGAGATAGTTTCTTGGCCACTGTCATACTATGGTCATTCGGGTGCCAGATTCAACTTCTGGAGGGATTCATTTCACGGGGTTTCTAGTCCTCAAGGAAAGCATGATCCCACACTGTAATGTTTATGATGATGGGTAGTAATCCATAAATTCTGTTTCTGATTTTTGGCTCCAGAGAGAGTGGTAACTCCACTCTGCCTTCTACCTGTCGACAGATATTTGATCACTTGTTGTACTTTCCTGTTAATCACGCACAGAATGAGATTAGATTGTTATTAATTGCAATTCCTTTTATATCAGTTACTTCTGCATCCAAGCCACATTCATTCAGAACCCATTCATTCAAGGCATCTTAAGATGTTTCTGTTTTCCCATCTTTAATTTAGATCAGGGGTCCTCCAATTTGAAGAATGAATGGTCGTAAATGGACCCCTTGCCGTTGGCAATTTTTCAACCTCCCTCCTTTTTTTTCATTGTGATGAGAAAACCGCGACAATCTACCGATACTTTTCAGATCAGTACAGCTGGTTGCATCGCACACTCCTCCTAACCTCTGCAAGGTGTTTGGGTTCTTGGCCAATAACACGTCAACATCTGTACCCACAAAGTACACATTTCATTTCCACAGTCGGCAGGATTGTGGCCCTGGTTGCAGCCGTTATTTGCGTGTAGTTCTCGACTTATAACCATTCCACCTCTCTCCCCCCCCCCTTTTTTTTTCCTTTGGATCATCAGGGCCACTTCGTGTCTCTCGCCTGCTCCAAGTATGGGAGCCGAGTTCTAGATGCCATCTGGAGCAGAGCCTCCCTGCCAGCCAAGCGGGAGCTGGCTCAGGAGCTGGGTAAGGCCTCTGTGTCCTCTGTTTTGTTTCCTTCCTTCCTTCCTTCCTTCCTTCCTTCCTTCCTTCCCTTCCCTTCCCTTCCCTTCCTTTCCTCCCTCCCTCCCTCCCTCCTCTCCTTTCCTTTCTCCCTCCCTCGCTCCCTCCCTCGCTCCCTCTTCCTTCCTCCCTCCCTCCTTTCCTTCTTTCTTTCCTTCCTCCCTCCCTCCGTCCCTCCTTCTTTCCTTCCTCCCTCCCTCCCTCCTTTCCTTCTTTCCTCTGTCCCTCCTTTCTTTCCTTCCTCCCTCCCGCCTTTCCTTCCTCCCTCCCTTCCTCACCCTTCCTCCCTCCCTCCTTTCCTCCCTCTCTTCCTTCCTCCCTCCCTCCTTTCCTTGCTTTCTTTCCTTCCTTCCTTCCTCCCTCCTTTCCTTCCTCCCTCCTTCCTTTCCTTCCTTCCTTCCTCCCTCCCTCCTTTCATTCAATTAACACAGTGTTTCTCAACCTTGGGCACTGAAGGATGTTTGGACTTCAACTCCCAGAATTCCCCAGCCAGCATAGCTTCCCCTGCCCCGGCCCCCACTTCTTAAAGGGGCCGAGGCTGAGAAACACTTTGAGTTAAAGAAAACGTGTAAAGCTGCCCAACCCTTTACACGGCAGGCCATATTTCAGAGTCACCCACTTCTAGCGACGGCGTTCGCACCGCCTCCTAAGGTGGAGCCTGGAACGAAGGACACGTGTGAATGCAGCCTCTCCGTTCCACAGAGGCTTTGTTGCCATTCCTCAAAACGTAACCCGCTCTCTTCTCCCTCTCCTCCCAGCGGAGCACGAGGCCCGGCTGCGACACGACCCCTTCGGACACCACCTCGTCCGCAACTTCGCGTTGACCCACTTCCTCAAACGCCGCCGCGACTGGGACGACCACCAGCAGGCGGAGAAAAAGCGGAGGCAGCTTTTCGCCGAGATCCTGGAGGGCTGAACTGAAGTGGGATCAAGAGGACTAGCTCCTTAAGCGGGCTTTGTGTTCCCACATCTGCTCAGAAGAGCCTTTTAGAGCCTCTCCCTTCACCCTCACGAATGGGAGCGGAATCGTTCGGATCGCTCTCGGCCAGCTCGTGATGGGGACTGTAGTCCAAAAGAAAGGAGAGAGAGAGAGAAGGGTGAGATTTGAGCAATTTGAGGTTGCTCCGGACGTGCCTTACTTGACTCTCTTCTCAAACGGATATTTATTTATATTTTTGCAGATATTAAAGGCAGTGAGTTCTTTGCAGGTGCTGTTCGTGTCTTGGTTTTAGGGCAAACAGATGGGCTGGACAATCTGTGGTTTGTCCAGAGGGATAGTCAGCTTCCTGTAACCGTGAAATGATGGTTTATAATAATAATAATAAAGTTGGAAGGGATCTTGGAGGTCATCTGGTCCAACCCCTGCTCAGGCAGGAAACCCTATATCATTTCAGACAAATGGCTGTCCAGTCTCTTCTTAAAAACTTCCAGTGTTGGAGCATTCACCATCTCTGGAGGCAGGTTGTTCCACTGGTTAATTGTTCTAACTGTCAGGATAGATGGATGGATGGATGGGTAGGTAAAGATGGACAGTACTTAATATTTATTTCCTATGTATATAATAATAATAGTAGTAAAGTTGGAAGGGACCTTGGAGGTCATCTAGTCCAACCCCCTGCTCAGGCAGGACACCCTACACCATTTCGGACAAATGGCTGTCCAGTCTCTTCTTAAAAACTTCCAGTGTGGGAGCATTTACTGCTTCTGGAGGCAGGTTGTTCCACTGATTAATTGTTCTCACTGTCAGGAAGTTTCTCCTTAGTTCTAGGTTATTTCTCTCCTTGATTAGTTTCCACCCGTTGCTTCTTGTCCTGCCTTCGGGTGCTTTGGAAAATAGCTTGATTCCTTCTTCTTTATGGCAGCCCCTGAGATATTGGAAGACTGCTATCCTGTCTCCCCTCGTCCTTTTCTTCGTTAAACTAGACATACCCAATTCCAGCAACTGTTCCTTATATGTTTTAGCCTCCAGTCCCCTAATCATCTTGGTTGCTCTGCTCTGCACTCTTTCTAGAGTCTCAACATCTTTTTTACATAGTGGTGACCAAAACTGGATGCCGTATTCCCAGTGTGGCCTTACCAAGGCATTGTAGAGTGGTAAGGCCACACTTGGAATACTGCATCCAGTTTTGTAGGGGTGTAGTTCTATACATACGTTGTTAATAGTATGTTTAGGTGTGTGTCATGTATGCGTTTCACTTTGAGAGCGGGCAACTAAATTTCATTTTCGATGTGTGCCGTTGTGCCCACCGTAAAAAAAAAAAAAAGACGATAAAGGTTATCTTATCTAAATCTGAGTCCCGAATCAAGTGGGTTCCCTTCAATCCAGTCTGAAGACGGAAGGTTTTTCCGGCGTTTGCAGGGACGAAGGGCCTCAATATTGGTAGTTGGTTATCTTGACTTGGGGGTGCCAGCTGTCCCCCACCTCCAGGAGCCGGCGGATGTAATTGGAAGCCCCCAAAAGAAGGTGCCCGACGCCTTGCATGACGGTGGAAGCCACCCGCAGGATCTCCCTGGAGGAAGAAGGCAAAAGAGGATTTCCATCAAAATAATTCACAGACGTAGGCGGTAGGGATAGTCCTCGAGTTTAACGGCCACAAGGGAGCCCAAAGTTTCTGTTGCTAAGTGAGAGAGCCATAGGCACGAAAGCTGGCGAAGAGAATTTGGGCCCATCGCCAGGAGACAGTGAGTTGTAGTGCTGCCTTAGGCATGAAAGCCGGCTGGGTGACTTTGGGCCAGTCACCAGGAGACGGTGAGTTCTAAGCCCGACTTAGGCACGAAAGCCGGGTATGTGACTTTGGGCCAATCACCAGGAGTTGGTGAGTTCTAGTTTTGCCTTAAACATGAAAGCTGGCTGGGTGACTTGGGGCCAATCACTAGGAGAAGGCGAGTTCTAGTCCCACCTTAGGCACGAAAGCCGGGTATGTGACTTTAGGCCAATCACCAGGAGTCGGTGAGTTCTAGTTCCGCCTTAGACATGAAAGCTGGCTGGGTGACTTGGGGCCAATCTCCAGGAGTTGGTGAGTTCTAGTTCCGCCTTAGACATGAAAGCTGGCTGGGAGACTTGGGGCCAATCACCAGGGGACAGTGAGTTCTAGTTCTACCTTAGACATGAAAGCTGGCTGGGTGACTTGGGGCCAATCACCAGGAGATGGTGAGTTCTAGTTCTGCCTTAGACATGAAATCTGGCTGGGTGACTTGGGGCCAATCACCAGGAAACAGTGAGTTCTAGTCCCGCCTTAGCCCTGAAAGCCAACTGGATGACTTGGGGCCAATCACCAGGGGATGGTGAGTTCTAGTTCCGCCTTAGACATGAAAGCTGGCTGGGTGATTTTGGGCCAATCACCAGGAGATGGTGAGTTCTAGTCCCACCTTAGCATCAAAGGTGGCTGGGGGACTTAGGGCCGGTCCCTGTCTCTCAGCTCAACCCACTTCAGAGGATTGTTGTGGGGAAAATAGTCGGAGGAAGAGTATCAAGAATGTTTACCGCTTTGAGAATTGTTCATAAACAATCGTAAGGCGGGATAAAAATCAAATGAATAATCCAATGAGTGGAAGCATTGAGAGGGCCAACCTGGAGATGGGTTTATCACTGTAATAACTAGAGCCATGGTCTTCAAACCTGGCCCTTTGATGACTTGTGGACGTCAACTCCCAGAATTCCTCAGCCAGGCACGCGTGCCTGGCTGAGGAATTCTGGGAGTTGACGTCCACAAGTCATCAAAGGACCAAGTCTGAAGACCCCTGAGCTAGAATGTCTCTTGCAACAATTTTGCTTTGTCTTGCATTTCATACAAAGCCTCCAGCATTCTTTTCCAACCTTTTAGGAGGATTGGGGGACACTGTTCCTTGGAAAAGCACTTGGGCCATTCCTAGCCCTCCCTCTGCCCCTTCTCCCCGGGGAGGGCAAGGGAGCAGGCTCACCGCAGAACCTTCTTCGGTCCCAGGCATTTGAAGTCGCAGCTCATCGAGTAGAGCCCGTAGAAAGTGGCCGAGATGTTGAGGCTGCCGAAAAGGTCCCGAGGGTTGAGCTTGTAGATGTCGAACGTGATGCGGGCGATATCCTGGCTGTTTCGAGGCTTGTCTCCGCTCAGGGCAAACGTCCGACTGGTGCTCTGGGGAGCAAGAGCAGTAGCACTTAAGACTTATGTACCGCTTCGTAGTGCTTTGCAGCTCTCTCTAAGCGGTTTACAGAGTCAGCCTATTGCCCCCCCCCAACAATCTGGGTCCTGAGAGAGAGAGAGAGAGAGAGAGAGAGAGAGAGAGATATGATAGATAGAAAGAAAGATGATAGATAGATAGATAGATAGATAGAAAGATAGCGAGAGAAAGAGAGATGATAGAGAGATATGATAGAGATAGATAGATAGACAGACAGACAGCAATAGGACTTAGACTTATATACCGCTTCATAGTGTTTTACAGTCCTCTGTAAGCGGTTTACAGAGTCAGCTTATTGTCCCCAGCAATCTGGGTCATTTAGATTCAGATAGATAGATAGATAGATAGATAGATAGATAGATAGATAGATAGATCAGTGGTTTCAACCTTTTTAATGCCGTGACCCCCAACCAGTCGTAACTTGAGGACTACTCAACTGGTGCAGCACCGTTTGCAGAATGGGACTCTTGGCGGGCTCAGCAGGGCAGAGACAGCCTGGACAATTCCTATTGGCTTTGGAAAGCCAATAAAATTAGACTCTATTCAAGAGAGTCTATTCTATTGGCTTTCAAAAGCCAATAGAATAAAGGGGAGTAGCACAGCTAAGGAAAAGGGGGGGGGGGAAATGGCGGACTGCGTTGTTTGGCGACCCCCGTGAAATGGTCGTTCGACCCCAAGTGGGGTCCCGACCCACAGGTTGAGAACCACTGAGATAGATAGATAGATAGATAGATAGAGATTAGAGAGATGAGAGAGAGAGAGACAGACAGACAGACAGCAATAGCACTTAGACTTATATACTGCTTCATAGTGTTTTACAGTCCTCTGTAAGCATTTTACAGAGTCAGCTTATTGTCCCCAACAATCTGGGTCATTTAGATTCAGATAGATAGATAGATAGATAGATAGATAGATAGATAGATAGATAGATAGATAGAGAAAGACAGAAAGAAAGAAAGAGATGAGATAGATGATAGAAATAGATAGATAGATAGGTAGATAGATGGATAGAAAGAAAAGAAAGAAAGAAAGAAAGAAAGAAAGAAAGAAAGAAAGAAAAAGAAAGAAAAAGAAATAGCACTTAGACATATATTGTTTCATAGTATTTTACAGCCCTCTTTAGGCGGTTTACAGAGTCAGCCTATTGCCCCCCCAAACAATCTGAGTCCTCATTTTATCGACCTTGGAAGTCCTGCCTTAGTCATGAAAACTGGGTGGGTGATTTTGGGCCAATCGCCAGGAGGTGGTGAGTTCTAGTCCCTCACTGCATAGGAAAGCCAGCTGGGTGACTTTGGCCCAATCACCAGGAGATGGTGAATTCTAGTCCTGCCTTAGGCATGAAAGCCAATTGGGTGACTTTGGCCCAGTCCATCTCTCTGTCAGTCCAACCCACCTCACAGGCCTGTTGTCATTGTGAGGAAAATAGAAGGATTAAGTATTTTTGCTGCCTTGTGTTCCTTATAAAGTAACAAAGGCAGGATCAAAATCTAACAAATAATTAAAAGAAAGGATCCCAAGGAGAAAAATGCACACCACCCCAAAGCAATTTGAGTAGGGGTGTGTGTGTTTTTGTGAAACCACAAAAACCCAAATCTCCAAACCGAGAAAACCAATTTTAGCAGCTATTTTTAATGTGGTTTGGGGTTTGTTTTTTTAAAAAAATGCATCAAAGGTATTTCCTGCCAGTTTTATATTCACCACAAGTGACATTGGGGAGCTTAGCTGGGCAAAAAAATCCAGATTTCTAAGGAAATAAGGGCAGATAAACCAGAGATTAGCGTGGCTGCACTTGGTCATCGCCCAAACGGATCTGGAATACCTACAAAATTTATTTCTCTCCTTTGAGCCTTTGGACCGACGTGAAAAAAGAAAAAGAAAAGAAACGTTAATTTTAGAACGATTTTTGAACTAGAAATGGCCGAAAGATTGTGAAATGGAAAGCTAATGGCTGAACCTGTATTATTTTTGTAATTGCTGCACCAAAGACTCTTGGAAGTCAATTTTTTTTTCCTTTTGGCACTTTTTATTTTTCTTATATTTTCTTACTTTGTTCCTTTTATAGGTTGATCTTATAATAAAACTTGATCAAAAGAACTGGAGGATTTAGAAGCATAGAAACATAGGATTCTAGGGCTGGAAGGGACCTTGGGAGGTCCTCTAGTCCAACCCGCTGCCCAAGGCATGAGACCTTAGGACATCTTGGACAAATGGACGTCCAATCTTTTCCTTATAACCGATAAATATTTAGATAGATGGCTGATAGATAGATACATAGATAATAATTGATCTATTGATAGATGATAGATAAACAATGATAAATTGATAGATAGAAATGGATAGATACATAGATAGATATAGATAGTTAGATCATGATAGATGGATAAATAGATAATTAGATGGATATATAATTAGATGGATAGATAGATAATGATCGATAGATAATGATTGGTAGATGATAAAGATAGGTGATAGATGGATAGATGATGGAGATAGATACATAGATAATGATCGATCAATCGATAGATGATAGGTAGAGTAATAATAGATGGATAAATGGATAAATATAGGTAGATAGATAATAATAGATGGATAGATGATGATAGATGGATAGATGAAGATAATGATCGATATATGATAAAGATAGATAATGATAGATGGATAGATAGATGATATAGATAGATAGATAATGATGGATAGATAATGATAACGATCGATAGATGATAGATATAGATAGATAGATAATGATAGATGGATAGATAATGATATAGATAGATAATGATAGATGGATAGATAGATGAGATAGATAGAGACAGACAAATAGATAATGATGGATAGATAGTGATATAGATAATGATAGATGGATAGATGATATAAATAGATAGATAGATAGATAATGATAGATGGATAGATAATGATATAGATAATGATAGATGGATAGTGATATAGATAGATAATGATAGATGGATAGAAATAATGATAATGATTGATAGATGATAGAGATAGATAATGATAGATAATGATCGAGAGATTGACAGATGATAGAGGCAGACAGACAGACAGATCATAGAGTTGGAAGGGACCTTGGAAGTCTTCTAGTTCAACCCCTTGCTCAGGGAAGGAGACCTTACTCCATCCCTGACAAACGGATGTCCAGCTTTTTCTTGATTTGATTTGATGACCCCCACCTTGCTGTGAGTCCACTTCTGTCCTTTCTCTAACACCATCAAGGCTGTGTTGTCTTCCAGGATTTGGAAAAATTCCTCCGTCTCAACCAGGGTCCCGTCTTCTTCCAACACCAAGAAAACCATACTGGACATCAAGAGGGTCTCCCTGGCCTACAAAACATGAAACCAACAAAACTGAGGCATGCAGGCTGAAGACACTCCACCCCCCCTCAAACTGCTTACTTTGATGCATTAAATATGTGCAACAAAATTTTATGCCCATTTTGCAGGGGAGAAAAGAGAGGTCGACTTGGAGCGACCTGCTGCAAATTCAGAAATTGACCTTCAAAATAGGTGTGTGTGTGTGTGTGTGTGTGTGTGTGTGTGTACATTGGCTGGGAGATAAAATAATGATAATAATCAACACAAACACATCTGCCTATCCCAGGTCCTTGGAAAGGACTCACTAGGTCAGGTGTCTTCAACCTTGGCCCTTTGATGACTTATGGACTTCAACTCCCAGAATTCCTCAGCCAGATATGCCTGGCTGAGGAATTCTGGGAGTTGAAGTCCACAAGTTATCAAAGGGTCATAGTTCCCTCATGCTGGCTGAGGAATTCTGGAAGTTGAAGTCCACAAGTTATCAAGGGGCCAAGCTTGAAAACCCCTGCAGTAGGTGGACAAAAACGCCAATTCAGTCTGAACCTCTGGCCGATTGGCCGACGAACCAAAATATTCATAATCAAAGAATTTAAAACAATACAAACTATCTGATACATCCCAAATAAATCTACCCACCTTGGTAAGTAAGTCTCCCAAAGTGCTGGCCATTAGTCCCTTGCGGATATTGCGCTTGTGATCGCACACTCGGAACGGCCGCTGGGGCGGAGGGCTCGGCGTCCAGACCCGGCGGGAGATTTCCGAGCCCGCACTGGAGACTGATCTGAGTCGAGGGAGAATAACGGAATAACAAGAGTTGGAAGGGACTTTGGAGGTCTTCTAGTCCAACCCCCTACTCAAGCAGGAGACCCTACACCATTCCAGAAAAGTAGCTGTCCAGTCTCTTCTTAAAAACCTCCATTGATGGAGTCCCTACAACTTCTGGAGGCAGGTTGTTCCACTGGTTAATTGTTCTCCCTGTCAGGAAGTTTCTCCTTAGTTCTAGCTTGCTTTTCTCCTTGGTTAGTTTCCATCCGTTGCTTCTCGTCTTGCCTTTTGGTGCTTTGGAGAACAGGTTGACCCCCCCTCTTTTTTGTGGCAGCCCCTCAGATACCGGAAGACTGCTATCATGTCACCCCTGGTCCTTTTCGTTTTTTAGACTAAGAGAATAACAGGATTGGAAGGGACCTTGGAGGTCTTCTAGTCCAACCCCCTGCTCGGGCAGGAAGCCCTATACCAGCGATGGCGAGCCTTTTAGAGACCGAGTGCCCAAACTGCAACCCAAAACCCACATGTATCGTCAGGTGCCGGGTGGGCGTGGCCCATTGGGTGGGCGTGGCCTATTGGGTGGGCATGGCTGCGGTGGTAACGGCAGACTGGGTGGGACTAAAAAGTTCAATCAATTCCAACTTTGCGAGATCTTTTTTTTTTCCCTGTGAGAGGTTGAAATTGACTGATTAATTGAACCTTTTTTTTTTTTGCACACGGCGGCGGAGGCCTAAAGCGAAAAGGTTTTATAAAACCCAGCTGAAGGCCTAGGACTGGGGCGACGGCACGCGTGCCCACAGAGAGGGCTCCGCGTGCCACCCCTGGCACCCGTGCCATAGGTTCGCCACCACGGCCCTATACCATTTCAGATAGATGGCTGTACAATCTCTTCTTAAAAACCTCCAGTGTTACTCATGAAGTTCCACTGTTTAATTGTTCTCACTATCAGAAAATTCCTCCTTCGTTCTAGTTTAGCTTTCTCCTTAGTTTCTATCCCTTACTTCTTGTCCTGCCTTCAGGTGGAGAATAGGTGGACCCCCTTCTTCTTTGGGTCAGCCCCTGAGATACTGGAAGACTGCTATCCTGTCCCCCCTCATCCTTCTCTTCATTAAACTAGATATCCCCAATTCCAGCAACCATTTCTTATATGCTTTAGCCTCCAGTCCGCTGATCATCTTTGTTGCTCTTCTGTGCACTCTTTCTAGAGTCTCAACATTTTTTACATTGTGGCAACCAAAACTGGATGCCGTATTCCAGGTGTGGCCTTACCAAGGCCTTATAAAGTGGTATGTGATCTTGCAGCGTGATACCTCAGGTGATGTGCAGAGTGTCCAGCGAAAAACACACCTTCCCTTTCTTTAGTGTCACTAAGAAGGTCCTTCTGTAAGACTGCCTCTCCCTGATTTTTGAGAGATTAGCGCTCACAGGGCTCCCCAAACAGCCACAATTAATCAGGATTACGTGGAGCTGTTTATTACAGCAACTGTTGTTCCTTTAGCTGTGGAGGTCAGAGTCTAAATTCCAGGTAGGTTTTTTTTTCTCCAGAAAGAGGGGGCTGTAGTAGTGATGGAATAGCTATGGAGTCTGTCTTAATTGCACAGAGATATCCAAGGAGCAATGATCCACAAGTGGGATTTTTAGCTTAATAATAATAATAATAATAATAATAATAATAATAATAATAATAATGGAAGGGAGGTCATCTAGTCCAACCCCTTGCTCAGGCAGGAAACCCTATACCATTTCGGACAAATGGCTGTCCAGTGTCTTCTTAAAGACTTCCAGTGTTGGAGCATTCATAGCTTCTGGAGGCTGGTTGTTCCACTGGTTAATTGTTCTAACTGTCAGGAAGTTTCTCCTTAGTTCTAGGTTGCTTCTCTCTTTGGTTAGCTTCTGAAGTATGAAACAAGCGAAGTCATACCTTGTATTTGTGAAATAAGCCATGATTGGCTGAATGTTACTTCTCTCTCTCTCTCTCTCTCTCTCTCTCTCTCTCTCTCTCTCTTTTTCCTCTTTCCACTCCAACGGAACTGACATTCTGCTGAACTGATTCCTGAAACAAGCCTTTTTCTGGGTCTCTTGACCCACAACCAGAGAGCAAGCAAACCAGGTTTATATAACACGCCCTCTCCCCTAATCTCAACCCCTCAACCAGATAACCACAGACCAAGCTTCGCCCCCATGGTGGAATCCAGCTGGGTGATCTTTGTAAATGACCAGGTTACAAAGTTGGGTGAACCTAGTTAAGTTTGCTGTGCCTTTCTTGATTTCGCACAAACAGGTGTGGGAACCCCCCCCCTTTCCACGGTCCCCAACATCCTTGTGTTGGCTGCTGCTGTAACTTGTGAAAAGGCTGGCCGGCAGATCCAACTAACCACAAAAGAAGGCTAGCTGTTGAGAACTGGCTAGAGAAACCAGGATGTCAAGGACTCCGGAAGTTGAGATTGCTAACCCCAATTTCTCCAGCCCGGTGCCCCCCATGAACTTACTTCAACAAAGATGAGGGGGCCAAGGCATTGATAAGATCCATGGTGCCCACGGCAGGGGCTGATGGGCTCCCAACAAAGAGATGTCCTTTCTTCCTGCTTCGTCAGTGTTTTGTGTTGAATTGCAAAAGGGACACGCTGCCCTGTTTGGTCTCTCTGGACTCTGAACTGTGATTTGTGGCCAGGAGAATGGGTGTGTGTGTGTGTGTGTGTGTGAGATGGAGGTATGTGTGTGTGTGTGTGTGTGGGGGGAAACATGGTGTAAATTCCAAAGTAAACAACAGAATAGATAACACCCCAGGCATTTAATAGTCTTGGATTGGATGGTATCTGTTTTGATTTTCTGCATCGAGCGAGCTGTCCCTTTGGCAGAGGGAGAACACCAAATGTTGACCTAAAAAGGAACAGGTTAAGCTGGTTAAAAATTTATTTTTGGGTCTTCCCCCCCCCCAAATCAACAGGGTTTATATACCGTAACATCATCACGGAACATCTGCCCATCTGATAGCAGTGCTGGATTTTTTTTAAAAAATGACCCCCTAATAATATAAGAAAAGGATGGATGAACAAATCTATCAAATCCACAAAGGTGTGTGTGTGTGTGTGTGTGAACTTATTGCTGGAGTTAGGGATGTCCAGTTTAATGAAGAGAAGGACGAGGGGGGACAGGATAACAGTGGTCCAGTATCTCAGGGGCTGCCCCAAAGAAGAAGGAGTCAAGCTGTTCTCCAAGGCAGGACAAGAAGCAACGGATGGAAGCTAACCAAGAACTAAGGAGAAACTTCCTGACAGTGAGAACAATTAACCAGTCGAATAGAAATTGTGAATGCTCCAACACTGGAGATTTTCAAGAAGAGACTGAACAGCCATTTGTCTTGAAATAGTATAGGGTCTCCTGCGTGAGCAGGGGGTTGGACTGGAGGACCTCAAGGTCCCTTCCAGCTCTATATTGTCCAGAGAAGTATTAAGACTTACTTGGATACAATGGTGTGCAGGCAGTCCCCGATTCAGAACCATTTGTTTAGCAACTGTACAATTTCAGACAAGTTCCAACAGCACTGGAAAAAAAAAAAGACGACTTACAATTGGTTTTTGCACTTGGCACCCATCGCAGTGTCCTTGCCCGATCAAAATTTGGGGTGCTTTCAACCGACCTCTATTTATGACGGTTTCAACGTCCTGGGCCTGTGTGATCACCATTGGCTGCCTTTCCAGGGACCTTCCGACAAACAAAGTCAATGGGGGAAAATGGGATTCACTTAAAACAACTGCAGGGATTCCACTTAACAACCGTGGGGAAAAAGAAATGTCATAAAATCCCGTTGCGACTCCTGCTTGCTGAGGCACATTCTGGTCCCAGTTGTTAGCCGTAAGCCGAGGACCAGTCGGCCAAGTTTGCGCACGTGTCAAAGAAATGGTGGAACCAAGTGCAAAACAAAAAAAATAAATAAATCAGATTTCATTTCATTAGAACGTTGCCGAATAAATTGAACGGAGCTAACGTAATTAACTCTGCCTGCAGAGTCTTTGAAATAATTTTATTGGGAAGTAGCTAGATGGCAGCACATACTGCTGATTTTAATTATCTTGAAAAGGGTAAGCTGACCCAGAGTTATGTTGTTCAACTGGAAAAAGAGATATTTGTGAAATCAAGAGGTTAACCTGAAGGAGAGTTTATCTTTTCTTTTGTTCTCCGATCACTTTCAAGATTACAGCCACTGCAAACAGAGACACTCAAAGCTTTCCGGACAGTGTTGTGAGTGTTTCATCATGGGAGGTTTTCGAAAATAGACCGGGACAACCATTGGACTGGGATGGCATAAGGACTCCTGTCATGCACAGGGGTTGGACTAGAAGACCTCTGAGGTTATTTCCAGTCCTAGGACTCTATGATTGAATAGAGAAAAAAGCTAGTCAGGAGGGGCCGTTCCCTGAATCCTACAACGCTAAAATTGGAAGGGTCCCCAAGGTCATCCAGTCCAGAAAAATCAATCCAAGCATTCATGAGAAGTGACTCTCCAGCCCCTTTAAGGTCTCCAGAGGTGGCCATCCCATAACCTGAATAAGTGAACTGTTCTGTACACCTTATCATCAGGAATTTTTCCTTATGTTGAAAGAAATTTAGCTGGTTGCTTACTTGTACGCATCGTTCCCGGTTCTCATTTCTGTCTGTTGAAAATAGTTCTTGACTATCTTCTCTAGGGTATTCTTTTATGCTTCTAGCTGTGGGAAATCAGTCCCCCAGAGAAGGAAATATTAAAAGGGCAGACTATTATATTTCCTCAAAGGATCTTAAAGAGGCAGAAAAGCATGCCCAGTTTTTTTTCTTAATAGCCCCAAGTCTCTCTCCCCCAAGCAGAAACCAGCTCTGTAGAAATGCAGATGTAAATAATCCAGGAAGGTTGGGGCCCTTCAGCTAGAAGTTTAGGAAAACAAAGACACCTAAAATCTACATACCCCACCCAAACTCTAAGACAGGACATAACAGGATTAATCCACAGATGCCAAAGGGCACATCCAGACGCAGCTCAGAATACATGACACAGGAAATACAAAATCTCAAACAGGAACAAGAAACAACTCCATACAAAAGCCCCAGAGGGTATAAAAACCCACTCCCTACATGTACTCTCTCTCATTTCTTCCAGAGCCATCTTTCCATCTGGCTTTCCTCTCCAATAAACTGCAACCTTCTTTCTAAAGCAATTGCCATGTTGTTTATTCCCGGCTTGGACTGAACCATGATGAAGACTTTCCCTTCAACATAACTATGGGCTCTTATGTTTCTTCTTGAAGGCATCTTGAGCCACTTAACCCAGCCCCTTTCACCTGCCCAACTATCTTGCAATCTTGTTGTCCCAAAGGTGTTTTTTACAGCAGGCAACTGGCCTGTTGAAGGAAAAGTCTTAGGAAAGCATAGGAAATCTCTAAGAAACAGTGCAAGATGGAAGATGTGGAGAGACCTGGATGGAACTGAATGGAGAGAGTTGGATGGAACTGAATGGAGAACAACAATGCCTTGGATTGGTGGGATTGGGGAAGGAAGGCGTAGGAGCTTCCGGTTTGGAGGTGAAAGATTTTTCGAGCTGGTGGAGAATCTTTGATGCTGAGAATAAGAGAAACTGTGTTTTGCTCTCCGTTTTTGTCTATTCTATTGTTTTTGGCTCTTCTTAAGGGGCCGTGGCTGCACAAAGGATTTGACAATGACAGCTCTAGGGCCGGGGGCGGCGAGATGTCCTTGTGAGATTGCAGAATAGGTTTGCTGTGGTCAAGAAGGCCGCAGAGCTGAGCAGGGAGCTGGGTTGGTCTCGCTGAGCCTGCCAAGTGAGGAGGAGGAGGAGGGTTGTGGAGAGGTATTGATGACGTTTTTCCTTTCCTGCTCTTTGCTGAGAGGAGGTAGCGTTTGCAGGAGCAGGTTGTCCACCTCAGAAAGCAGAGCGGTGGTGGTGCTGAGACGATCCTAGCTCCAGAAATGGACCATCCTGTGGAGCATGGAGGCCACCACTTGGTGGATGGCTTGAAGGTGTCTCTCTTCTCTTGGTACTCTTCAGCTCCTGTTGTTCCCATCATCAATTTTGTGGCTCTCTTTCTGTTTCTTCCAACGTCTCTCCTGATCGTCCCGTGTGAATCAACCACCCAAGGTAAAATTAATTTCTTTGCTTCTACATTTTCCCTTTTCTGACACACAAGATGGGAAGAAGGATCTGGAAATGAAGATTTCTCTCCAAAGAAGTAGAGGGGAATAAATCCTCCCTCTTATGCTTGGGAATGTGTGGTTAATATCAGAATAGATAGAGGAGCTATCAAAGTGGTATGAGCCGAAAGCTCTTCCGATTGTCCTTTTTCTCATTTGTGAAAGGGGATCCTATGTCTTTTCTCTGAAAATCCCTCTCCAGGAATCAGATAGTTTTTTAAACATTGGCTCGTTTTAGTGTGGCAAAGAAGTGAAAAGACTCAAAGAGAAATTTTCTTGATGAAAAGGATGAATGAGATTTAACGTCTTAGCAACGTTTTTCTCAAAGGCGCTCTTTTGCTTTTCTCCCTTCCTTTCCTGAAATTTGAGAAATTTTAAATGTTCTTCCCTGTGACAGCCCTTCAAATATTGGAAGATGCTGTCATATCTCCTCTAGTCATTCTCTGTTAGACTAGACATCCTTAGTTCCCTCAATGGTTCATCGTACGGTTTAGTCTCCAGTCTCCTAATCATCTTTTTTGCTCTTCTCTGCACTCTTTTTTTTTTTTACAAACCTTTTTTTTTTAATCATGGTGACCAAAACTGGACTCAGTATTCCAGGTGTGGGCTCACCAGGGCGTTATAAAGCGATGCAATCACTTCTTGTGATCTTGAAACCATCCCTCTCTTGATGCAGCCTAGAACTGCATTGGCTTTTTGGGCAGCTACAGCATAGTGTTGGTTCATACTTAAGTGACTCTCTACCAGGACACCTATATGCATCTCATAGTTCCTGCTGTTGAGCTGGGTACTACCGATTCTATATTTATCTATCTTTTCTCATCACTGAACTGCATCATGTTGAACAGGGCCCAATACTCACATCAGTCAATATGCTAAATATGAACATTTTGCCTCTGGAGCTTTGCCTGGCGATTCTTGACTATAGATTCAGCAAACTGCGATGATTCTTTTGTCCAGTAATGGGTGCAAACTTCTTCAGTGCAGTGACAAAGCCACAAACACCAACTTAGACTAGCATTTCCTGTGACTGCAGCATTTATGGTCGGCTTCTTGATGTGCATGTGAGGTGTCAAGGGAGAGGTTAACAAGGGTGTGATTGTAAAAATGGCTCCATCGAACAAAAATGTTGATGATTCAGATGGACCAGCTCTGGCGAAGGGTAATTCATGGCTCTGTTGTAAATCAGCTTTAATATATAAATGAATAGGCCATGCCACAGTCGTGAATCTGCAGACAGAAAAAAGGATCTCTCGTATGCTGAATTTATGTAGGGAGTTCCAGTTCATCATAAATGTGATAAATGTCTACCTGAGACCCTCCAGATGTTATAAAATCTCAGCTATGAACCTTATCCAAAATGGCCATTGCTAATGGATGATGGGAATAAATGCATAAAGCCACATTGGATCCACCGCCTAGCTCTCAACAGCTATCCATTGAATTGTCTGGATTTCCATTAAGGATTTGTTAATTGTAGTTGGTAGAGATGTTGAGAGTAATGGTCTACTCTCTGGTCATCAGATGCACATGTAAGCCTCGACTTGATGACCATAATGGAGCCTGCTGTCAGAACTTTGAATCTGGGTGGTAAGTTGCTTTTTTGAGGTTTGTCATAACTTCGAACGTTTACTAAGCAATGGGCCGTTGGTCAAGCACTACCTGTAAAGATGTTTATTTGAGAAGAGATAATTTGGTTGTTTCTACTTCTAGCCCAAGTCTTGGATTGGATTTGTGCAACACAATTCTGCTTACTAGCTTGCAAGTATTTTTATGGGATTCTTTCCAAATTTCCTTTGTTTCTCAGCTTTTCAGAAGACTACTTGGAATCTCCCAGCAGCTCCCACCTTGTCCTGGTCGCCTCCTTACCAAACTCTCCACAAAGGAGACAACATAGAGTTAAAATGTTCCCCCCCAGGAGGACAGAAGGGAAAACTTTACTTTTTCTATCGCATCAGTGAAAAGGGTGAAGAGACAAGATATCAAGAACAGATCGGAAATACTCTGCTGATTCAGGCAATACAAATAGCCCCAAAGGAAAATTTTTCTTGTTCTTACTGGGGAAAAAACAGGGACGGAAGAAGCTCTTTCTCGCAAAAGAGTAATTGGGCTGAATTTACTACCATTGGTAAGGAACTTTTTTCTGATTTATAAGAGTGTTTACATTGGGGTTTTCTCCATCTTGACAACTTTAAGATGTGTGGACCTCATCTTCTAGAATTTCATATGCTAGCAGAGGAATTCTGGGAGTCCGTTCACAAATCTTCAGATTTGTCAAGGTTGAGAAATACTGTTCACATCGTTAGAAAGATGCCTAAGAGATTCCTACGACAAAAAACACTACTTTCAAGAATCTGTGTTCTTTAATTCATTAAATAAAAGATATTTATTTTATTGTTCTCAAAACAAAAAAGAGACAAGAGAAAGATGTTCAAGCAGACCAATTTCTTTTACAGAGGAAAGCTGAAGGAAATGTGATATTGCACACCTTCACCACATTGGAGTGGGGAGATTTTGGTGCTGCCTCGCAGAGATTCTGTCTCCTTAGAATATCCCTGGAGAGTGAAGGAATATTAGTGAGATTTCCGGGATATTTCTGCCCCACTATTCAGGCTGTGAAGCTGCCCAATCTAGATTTCTTCAACCTCTTGATTCCAAGGAGTGTTTTCTGAGGAAAGAGAAGAGGTCATCAGTTCCATTCTGCAGGAAGGAAAGTCCAACCAAGAATTTTAGTGCAGTTAGATGTGTTGATGGGTGCCAGTCAAGATAATCCTGGGACTGCCTGAAGGACATTTGATACTCACTTCTTTTTCCGCTCTGGATCTATCTAGATCTTCCACCAGCTCCCAGTCTTTCTCCAGATGCTTCAGAACCTCTGTATCTGGTTGGGGAGAACATTTCTCTCAGGTGCTCCGCTCCCAACAACAGTGTTCAAAGTTGGAGACAATACCAAATAAGGAAAAATGAGAATGAGACCTCTATAAAGGATCTGGATTGGCATGAAGACAACTCCTGGGTCCTCACAGCCACAAGGGAAGATTCTGGATTATATAAATGCAGGTACCAAGAATGGAAATATGGGAGAACCATCTCTTCAGAGTGGAGTCGTCCTGTCTCAATTGTGGTGAGAGGTGCGGATTTTTTTTTCTTCATTTTGAAAATGTGGATCCCTATAACTGGGGCTTTATTTATTTAGAGCCTGCATATGAAAGCGTTTCCCTGATGAAATCCCAGAATGGCTCCATCCTGGAGACAGTGGAATCCAAGCACCACCAAGCTAATTCCCCCTTTTCTCTTCTCCAGATTCTCTGCCTCCCCCAGTGTTGAAGCTGCATCCTCCCTCTGGATCCCTGGGGGAAGGCAAAGTCCTGCACATCCAGTGTTTGCCCAATGAGGGCAATAACACCAAGAGGTTCCATTTCTCATGGAAGGGTGTGGAAATGGCCTCCAGCAATGAAGGTCTTCGGAGGAGCAGCAGAGACTTTGGGCTTCTTACTCTAAATATGTCAGTAGTCTTCCTATATGCCAAAGGCAATGGAAGCCTGGGACTTGCTTGCAGATGGGAGGAAAACATAAGTGGGCGCTGGATCATGTCTCCTTGGAGCCAGATAGTGAATATCACAGGTGGGTCTTTTCAGAAGGTGGAGTCATCTGCTGTCTATATGCGGAAGGAACACTTGCAAAAATTGATATAGCCATCCAAGGAAATCTTGCAAAATGATACTTCTCCCCCTTTTCCTTTGTAGTTCTACCAGCCCCAGCTGGCCCGTCAGTGGGCTATGCAGCGTTGGCTCTCCTTGTCCTTCTCCTGGGAGCCCCACTGGTTTTCTGCTGCAGCAGGAAGAAGAACGGTAGGTGGGTGAGTCCCAAATTCAAAAGTAGCAGGAGCTTCCCTGAATCTCAGTCAAGTGGCTAGAGAGGAACCTTTGTCGGAGAAATGGTCAAAGCCACTTGGAAGAATAGACCTCCAAGAGGTCCTTCTTCAACACAATGGAGACTACTCTGATAAGCATAGTGATCCTTCTTGTTGCCTGTCCCAGAATTTAATAGACATTTGGCCTTGGGAATCTTAGCCTTGGGATTAGGAGGGTCTTGACTGTTGACATAACAAACATCCCCCCTGAGCTAAGAAACTCCAGCTTCCACTGTATCTACCCTAAGTAGTAATTGAGGTTGGGATATTCCCTCTACTGGGCGAAGGTGGCTGAATTGAGAAGAGCTTATTTGGCTTTAAAGGAGAGTCTTCTCTTCCCAGCCAGAATATCAGCAGATAGCAGATCTTAGATGGTAAGTATTTGGCCCTGAGTAATAGCTGGATGGGAATATCCAAGAAGGTTCTTAGCTGTAGAGTGGGCAGTTTTCAAGAAATAGAATGGACACTGCAGCCCAGTGAAGCTGAGCTTGAGGGTGTATCTATCTTTACTTTTTTTCTCAGATGATAGAATAACTAGGATGAGTCATGTTTGTTTATTCCTGTCTTCCTTTTTTTGCATGGATCTGGAAACATCAGGATGCCAGCGGAGATCTGAGACTAAAGAGAAGAAGGAGGAAGTCCGATTAAATGATCTTGGATCTGAGGATCTGGATGGGGAGGATTTACAGGTAACCACTTCAAGGATTCTTCCATTCCTGGGCAGGACCGTTTATGAAGGAATTCGGAATCCTGGGCAGTTTCAGAGCTATCGTGTATCACCCAAATTTCCTGGTAGTCAAATTCTGATGGAATAATAGAAAAACTTTCTAGAGGATTTTGAGAGAGGAGGGAGGGAAGGATCTCCATTCACTAGATTATAAAAGTGGAGCCAAAGAACATTTTTTGAAGGATACCTTCATTTACTTCCTGCCTTGAGTGGCATGGCCTAACGTCCACTTTGTCTCCACTAGTCTTTTATTCTACTAATATTTGGTTTTATTGTGAACAAATTGTTGGTTTTCCAACTAGAACGATTTGGGAGTCATCCTGATAGAAGTCTCTCCCAGGGCCGTTCTCTGGGTGACAGGAGGTAGAGGATCTGGGTTGGGCCTGGTGTGGTGTGGTTGCCATTTACTACTACTACTAATACTGCTACTACTACTACTACTGCTACTATTAATAATAATAATAATAATAATAATAATAATAGAAAATGATAAAATTAAACTGCTCTGGGACTTCAGAATTCAAACAGACAAGCACCTGCAACATAACACCCCAGACTTAACAATTGTCGATAAGAAAGACAAAAAAGTCTGGATAGTGGATGTGGCAGTGCCTGGAGATAGCAGAATAGAAGAGAAAGAACTGGAGAAGATAACAAAATACAAAGACCTACAAATAGAAATAGAAAGACTGTGGCAAAAGCAAGCAAGGGTAGTACCAATAGTCATAGGCTCCTTGGGTGCAATCCCAAAACAACTGGAGCACCACTTGAACACCATTGGCATTGACAAATTCGCTATTAGTCAATTGCAAAAGGCGGCCTTATTAGGAACTGCTTCCATCCTGCGACGATATCTGTAATACCATCAAACATCCACATCTGCCTATCCCAGGTCCTGGGTAAGGACTCGATAGGTAGACAAAATGCCAAATCCAGTCTGAACATCTGGCTGACTGTGCGATGATCGATAATAATAATAATAATGTTGGAAGGGACCTTGGAGGTCATCAACTCCAACCCCCTGCTCAGGCAGGAACCCTACACCATTTCAGACAAATAGCTGTCCAGTCTCTTCTTAAAAACTTCCAGTGTTGGAGCATTCACCGCTTCTGGAGGCAGGTTGTTCCCCTGGTTAATTGTTCTAACTTTGAGGAAGTTTGATTCTGTTGCTGAGGATTCTGGAAGAGTCAACTAGTTTCCATTTGTAAACCCCTTCCAAAGTAAACGTTTGAAGGTCTCCTTTATGATGGATCCTGGTTGAATTTCAAGCTTGTCTTTTCCTGGCTTTCTAGAATTCAGAACTCACCTATGTTGTTGTCAAGACATCATCCACGGTGATCCCTTTGGAACCCAGGACCAAGAATCCTCTGAAGACCCAGGAAGTGGACCAAGTCATATACAGCGATGTCCGGGTTCAAGCAACCAGCAGAAGAGCCCACTGACTACTTCTCCAAAGGCCACTTTCAGAAGACCAGCCTTTTCACCACCAGGAACGGAGGACTTGCTCTGGTTCTGTTGGGGTATTTGGGAATAGACATGCTTGAACCCAGGGTTTCTCAACCTTGGCAACTGGAAGATGGACTCCAACTCCCAGAATTCATGGCTGTCTGGTGTATCCTGGGAGTTGAAGTCCACCCATGTTCAAGCTGTCAAGATTGAGAAACTCGGGGCATATCTTCAGTACACCGAAATCACTCAGAATTTACAGCCTTGACCTTTTACTCTTCCTAACTAGTAGAAATATTGGCCAATGTCCAGTTACTCACAAAGAATACCTGTCCTCCCTTCCCCTTTTTGTACTAAAAATGATTCTTCCTGTCCTTGTTGATGGAGAATCCAGTGAAGGAGATATAAATCCTGTGAAATAAATAAAAAATGCTGTTGTTGTTGTTCAGTCACCAAATTGTGTCTGACTCTTCACAACCCCATAGGCCATAGCATACCAGGCCCACCCAAATTTTGCTCCAATTCATATTTATTCCGTCAATGACACCATCTAATAACCTCATCCTCTGCTGTCCCCTTCTCCTTTTGTCTTCCATCTTTCCCAATATTGGAGTCTTTCCCAATGAATCTTTTCTTCTCGTTAGGTGGCCAAACTATTTGAGCTTCAAGAAATATTATAAGAGTTTTTTTAAAAAATATAAGGGATTCTGCAATTGCTGTTGTGGCTTTCCATGGCACGGTTGTTGTTCTGCCCCAAAACTGGGTCCCGTGGGGCTAGAAGATGAGTCTCCACAAAAATCCTCTCCAGTCACGTAAGTCTCCCATTCACAATGTTGGCAATGTTTTCACTGGTCCAAACAGGGAATTTGTATCCCCGATTTATCAGTGGCATTTTCATCTTTCAAATTACGCAAAGCTTTATGGTTGCTGCTGGTAATTTTCTTCTCTCTGAGCTGTCGAGGCCCTTCTAGGCTCCTGATTGGCTGGTGGCTGGAGCCTCACCCCTTGGAGGGCCATGCACTATTGACTTTGTATTACCTGCAATATGGTTTCTGCACTAGTTAACTCACCTGGGTTCTCTTGTATTTTAATTAGCCTTCTTGTTCTCTTCCTTTCAAAAGTATTGCTACTCAGGGTGGCTGGAACCTCGCCCCTTTGAGGGCCATGCAGTATGGACTATGTAATACCTGGAGTATGGTTTTTGTAATACCACTGCACTGGTTAACTCACATGGGTTTTCTTGTATTTGAATTAGCCTTCTTTCTTTGCTCCTTTCAAATGTATTGCTAATTATGGTGGTGACTGGAACGTCATCCACTTTGAGGGCCACACAGTATGGACTTTGTAATACCTGCAATATGGTTTTTGTAGTACCACTGCCCTGGTTAACTCACATGGGTTCTCTTGCATTTTAACTAGTCTTCTTTCTCTCTTTCTTTCTTTCAAACATATTTCTAATTATTTGCCATCCTCTGGCTATTTTAATTGGGGTCCAGCAAATGGAGGCAGGAGCTCCAGCCAACTTTAGCTATCACCTCAAGCTCTGAACAGGAGGAGGAGGAGGAGGAGGAGAAGCCGAGCGTGGGATTCTGGGAGATGTAGGCTCCACCCACGAGGAGGGCCTTAGAATGCAGGGCAGCAGAACTACAGAGCCCAGCATTCCAAGGGAAAAAAGGCGGGAAAATGGACTGGGGAGAAAAAACCTTTGCGCCTGAGGGGAGATGGGGAGAGAGAGAGAGAGAGAGAGAGAGAGAGAGAAAATCTTGTTCTGAGGAAAAAAAAAATGGCTCTGGCTTTCTGGGAGATTATCTGAATCAAAGCCTCACAAATGCCCCAAGGGGTGTCGGGGGGGGGGGGGTTGGGCCAGGCAGGCCGGTCATCAGAGGAGAAGGACAGAAGGAGCCGGTCATCGGCCAGAGTCTCCTTCGAGGGTGAGCGCTACATACGCAGCAGAGGAGAGCTGGGATATTATGGGATGAGAAACTCCTGGAGCTGTTTCTATGGGAAGTTTAAAGGGGCCAACGCTGCTTTAAACAATCCCAGCTCTCTCACTGTATGTGTGAGTTTTGTGTATGTGGTAGTCTGCATGGCTTCCCTCCATTGCCTACCCTTTGTTAAATTGTGATATTGCCTCATTTCAGCATCTGCCTGCCTGCCTAATCTATCTTAGCTATCTCTATCATCTCTTTTCTATATCTATCTATCTATCTATCTATCTATCTATCTATCTATCTATCTATCTATCTATCTATCTATCTATCTATCTCTATCCTCTCTTTTCTATATCTATCTATCCATTCATTCAATTTTTATGCCACACATCTGCCCTACAAGATGACTGTGGGTGACTTGAAAGCACTTGGTGAATTTTAAAGATCATTTAAAAAATAACTACTGCTCCACAGAATTTAAGATCTGGAGCTGAATCCCGGTCTGTAGCATCCCTGATGGAGGAGGCTCGTCCTCTGCTTCAAGACTTTCCATGAAGGAAAATCCAGATCTTCCCAAAGCCTTCAGTTCCTCTTAGGAATTTTTGTTTTTTTGCTGCCGTCCAACCAAAATCTGTTTCCTTTGTAATTTCTGCTACGGTAATAGTTTCCTGACTTCTGGAAGTGCTTCAAACAATTTGGAAGACACTTGCCATCTCTTCCTGCCTCGTCCTCCAGGCTAAACTTCTGTTGCTGAAGAGGGAGATTCTTTTGCCAAATTCTTTTCTTGAATGAATCTCACTTTAAAGTAACAGGTCGCAAATTCTGACTTTCTTTCAACTCTAGCCCATTGATTGGTTAAAACTGGGAATTCCAACTCTTTGTTGGTAGTTTCTTGCTATTCAATATATGCATTAGTGCACGCACACACACAGACAAAAATACAAATACATGAACACATGTATGCATCAAGTAACAACATGATGAACATTTTAACGTCAAGTAATTTAGTTTGATTAGTTTGTTTTATTATAAAACAAATACTTTGATGCATACTCTTCTTTCATTTTTCAATTTATTTCCAATGTTATATTTAACTCTGAAGAAAAAGTCAAACAATCATAATATTTGTAACACCAATATCCAAAGCTGTAATTAATACTGATAAAATATCTATTCTCCCCCTCATATCTATATTCAGAACTCCAAGGAACATAAATAATAGAATATTAAGCATCCAAGTATATTATATGAACATCATCATATTGAAATAGCATATTGTACCAAATGCATGCATGTATATATACGTATGTGTGTATTTGTATATATGTGTATGTGTGTGTATGTATAACTCTCTTCTCGCCTCTCTCTTTCTCGCTGTCTATCTATCTATATCTATCTATCTATCTATCTATCTATCTATCTATCTATCTATCTATCTATCTATCTATCACCTCCATGCACCATTCAACCCATCAAAAAAATGGAAGGAGAAAAAAAGGACCTAAGAAAAAGGAAAACCTGTATCTCTGGGAAAATGAGAAAGGGGTTATTAGCCAAGAGACTCAGCTAGTATTCAAAGCAAAATATCCCAAAGGACATTTCCCATGGCTTCAAACAAACATGGAGAGGAACAGATCAATAAGGAAAAAGCCTTGGATCTTCTCTCTCACCTGAGACTCAGAAGTGAAACTCCAAAGGATGAAGGCGAGCTCCTCTGAGCTGGAGATTCAAGAGAAATTTCAGGGTGGAAAAGGGCGTCTAAATGAGATTTCATGGCAGTTGTTTGTATTAGATCAGACATGTCAAACACAAGGCCCAGGGGCCGGATGCGGCCCACGAAGTGGTTTCATGTGGCTCGTGAAGCCATCCTGGAAACAGTGAGGGAATGGCCCCCACTGCCTTGGCCCTGGCCCAGGCCAGCCGGGAGCCAATGTTCAATTTTGTGGTGGCCATCTTGGCACTTGCTCCGGTCCCATCCCATTCTGCCAGAGACCCTCAGATTTGTCCCACTCCTGCCCAGGCCCCCACAGGCTCCCTTGACACAAATGATGTACAACTGACCACGACCACCCAGTAGGCCACACCCACCCAGTAAGCTGCACCCACTCTGGCCACACCCACCAGACCCCCCCAGGGCAACCGCAATGCTGAAACGGCCCTCAGTGAAATTGAGTTTGACACCCCTGTATTAGATCTATCCAGTATGCAGAAAAAAGTTGTTGAAAGTTATAACAAAAATCTTCCCAACAGGCTCAAGTCTAGATAGATCTGAGACTTGTAGAAGAGGGTGGGGCCAAAGATTTTCCCCTTTTTGATGGGGTTTCTCTTCTGCCATAAACTGAAGTACCTCATCATTTCTTCACAGGTCATGTGCATATCTGGGCCTAATAAGAGACTGCACCAAGAGAGCTGTTTTGTTTTCCTGCAATCAAGTTTATATACGGTGCCCCCTCTTCTTCCTCTTCTGTAAGATGGTTCTTCTGAGTGGAGAAGTCCTGAACATTGCTGTAGGTGGCCTCAAAGTCCTGGGGAAACTAAGGGAAAGAGAGCCCATTGTTCAAACATTCAGTTTGCCTGCAGCTCAAGATCAATGAAGAACAAGGGATTTCTCCATCATTTTGCAGCATTTTTAGAAATAAATAAGGTTGACGGTCTTCTAGAAAGATTGCCAAGCCCATCAGAGAACAGAAGGATTGACTTTCAGCATCTGACCTGACCCGGTCTGGTTTTCTGATTCTGATGGTGATGAGATACTCCTGAGAAACCCGCAAGGACATTCCTCTAAAACCTTGCCTGCAACACTTGATTAGAGGAATCTTTGATGGCTTCTAAGATACTTAATTTTCTTAAGTATATCTTTCTTTTCCTATTTTTCTGTGAACTTCAAGGCCATTTAATTTTACGGCCAACACATAATTTGTTAGATTGAAAGCCATATGGAGAAGTATTCTTTCCTATTTTTAAAGGAACATCCAGGGGTACTAAAATGCCTAAATTCTTTGATTGAAACCAAGTAAATGAAGAAACGGAGAATAGGTGTTGACAGAGATCAAAACAAATGGGATTATGGGAGGTAAATCCTGCTTGAATTTAAGATTTAAGTTCACTATCTACCAATATTACACCAATATGCTTCAGGCCCTCTAAAGCCCATCTATATCATTCTTGTTCGTAGACAACAATAGTTGGGTGATTCCACAGGACACTGTAAGTCAGTGGTTCTCAATCTTTTTAATGCCGTGACCCCCAACCGGTCGTAAGTCAAGGACTACTCAACTGGTGCAGCACCGTTTGCAGAATGGGATTTTTGGCGGGCTTGGCAGGGCAGAGACAGCCTGGACAATTCCTATTGGCTTTTGAAAGCCAATAGAATTAGACTCTATTCAAGAGAGTTTATTCTATTGGCTTTCAAAAGCCAATAGAATAAAAGGGAGTAGCACAGCTAAGGAAAAGGGGAAAAAAGATGGCGGACTGCGTTGTTTGGCGACCCCCGTGAAATGGTCGTTTGACCCCAAATGGGGTCCCGACCCACAGGTTGAGAACCACTGCTGTAAGTTATTGGTGAGGATTCCATGAACCTAGTATAACTCTCCAGTGTGATAGACCTTCCCTGTAGACGGTGTGTGTGTGTGTGTGTGTCTTCAAACTTGGTCCTTTTATGACTTGTGGACTTCAACTTCCAGAATTCCTCAGCCAGGCATGCTGGCTGACGAATTCTGGGAGTTGAAGTCCACAAGTCATAAAAAGGGCCAAATTTGAAGAATCCTGCTGTAGACACTAATTAAAGTCACCCATGAATTCCACCAGCTACCTTGACTGATGAGGGTGTTGCTACTTGAGGCTCCATCACTGAAAGATGATCTCCTTTCTCTTTCTTTTCCATTAGTTGAAATTGTTCCTGTGATTGAGATGCTTCCATGGCAGCAATAAAAAGGAAAAAAAAATGAAGCTACTTTCCACCATCCTTACATATCATCTTCCCATCCCTCTCATTTCCAGTTCTGCTTTTCCTTTCCTGCTTCCCCGGAGGATCTCTCAGTCAACATATCCAACTACAAGAGCAACCTCTGATAAGGGAACCCTCGAACCCAAATCCTTCACTTACTGCTCTTTTGCTTCCAGCAATAAAAGGCAATTGGAACCAGCAGAATTAGAAAAAGAATCCATCTCCGGGCATATCTCCAAACAGAATATAAACCGTGGGTCCAAACTGGTATGACTAGGAAAGAAGGAGGATGATTTAATGTTCCTTGGCAGAATATTTTTACCCTGTCCTGTTCTTGAAAGTTTAGATCCTATATCATCTAAAATCTAAACTTTTCACGGTCTTCTTCTTCTTAGCTTAGCAATCTCACAGAAGCCAATTGCCTTTCTTTAGATCTTTCTTCAGCCTTCCTAGTTTATCCTATCATGGTGGTCTCAAGTTGTAACCACATCCAACATTCCCTTAACTGGCTCACCTGTCATGTTTATCCCCTGGCTCCAAGAAGACACAAGCCATTGGTTAGTTCTCTTTTCTTCATAACTGCAAGCAAATTCGCCACTGTGGTTGAATGACGCATGTAGGATTCTCAAAGAGGCACTTTGAACACGATCTGTGGGTTCAATGGAAGGTTCCAGAAGACCTTCTTCCCTGGAGGTGATCTCCATCCCATCCTTGTAGAAATGGAAGATCTTCTCTGCATTGCTTCCTTCCACTGAGCAGAGGAAGACTAAAGGGTCACCTTCCTTCACCTGGGACACCGGATCCACTTTCAGCAGCGGGGAAGGAGGGGAAGGAAGTTCATCTGCAAGAAAAGTTCACAAGGAACATATTAATGTCTCCATTAAAGCAGGAGAGATCCTGGAAATCATCCATAGTATCCCCTTGAATCTAAAGTACTATTTCTATGAGACAAAGCAGTGATATTTCAGAGAATGGAGATTAAGATGGGAAATAAGGAAGGGGAATGCTGTCGTTCGGGGTGAAAATAATACATAAACTGCCCCTTTTCACCCAAGAGAGACTGGATCAAGCAATCATTACCTTTGTCTACCCATCAGCCAAATCTTCAAATTAAAGAAAAGCAAGATGCAGCACAGAATATAAAATATAAAAAGCGGTAGGTATGAAGCATGTAAGACTGAAAAAACATTTGTTTTTGTAACTTGTCACCATGTCGTCACCACCAAAATATTCCATTTGGGAGATATTTTTCCCATTGAAGGAAAGTCCTCCTGACCATTTTCTTAGAGGAGGCGTCATTTATTTAATGGTGGCTCTGCTTGTTTGGTTCACTGGATTAATTTTTGAAAGCTTTATTGTGCATTTTCATAGGTTGAGTATTAGAACTGCCTTTGATGTGAATATTTCCAGGCAATGAGGATCCATCTTACCAACAACTGAGAAGACCAGCTGGTTACTTTCAGGAGAAGAAGGCCATCCCCAAGATGTTTCCCTGATCTTGCAATTACATATAATCTTTATTTGGTCAGAGGTCAGATTTTCAGTCCTGATATTGACGGTATTGTTAGGGAGATGTTGACCTCCAACTGATTTGCCAGATTGATCTTTACAGTAGAAAAAGAACCTATGGGATCCCTCCGGACTCCAGGATGCGACTCCCTCAGGGAGGGAGCAATTCAGGGGAATCTCTTCTCCTTTAATAATAAAGCTGTGTGGAAGAGACGAGGACAGCCTGGGGGCTGATCGAGATGAATCTGTCTGTGAACCTGAGGAAAGAAAGAGAAGACATTGAGACTTGCCTTCTGATCTCCTCCTGGAACCAAATCTCTATATCAGAACATCCACCCTGATTCCCAGAATGGCTCCCATCCATAATCTGCTCTGAGAATCCTTGACCCACTGCTTCCTCTTGCAAGGACAGGAGTTGGACAAAAAGGGACCAATGCTGCAAATGAAAAATTCTCCTACTCTTGATGGCTTGGATGAAGGTCCATCCCAGATTTTATCCCTCCCTGAACCTTTAGGACTGTCTTCCTTTCTGCTCTCCTTCCTCTGTAGACCACAGATCCCCACCCTTTCTGGGTTGGTAGCCCGGAGGGAAAGGGAAGAGCAAGGAAATTTGCATGTGCATGCGTGTGCACGCGCAAAAGAGGCTGCTAGTGCCTGCATGAATGTCCAAATGGGGCTACTAGTGGCTGTGTGGCAGCACTAACACCCACGCACATGTGCAAATGGGGCTGCCAGTTGACTGCTAGCACAAGGGGGGGGGAGTGTGCATGCACATGCGCACAGACTGACCAGCTATTCTCATGGCCTGGTGGCCAGCAGGCTACGGACCAGTAGTGGGCTATAGCCCACAGGTTGGGGACCCTTGTTATAGACACTTCTCCATTTTATATTGGGTGAAGAAGAACTTGACATGGACATTCTTGAGAAGGATCATTTGTAGATTCACCAGGACATAAAAAGAAGGATTTTCATGCTTGTCTTGTAAGAACAGCTATTAATTCTTCAGTTTGGCACCTTGGGAGAAAACGTTACCAACTGAATGTTAGAGGATTTTTGCCTGGGCTCTTCAGGGAGACCCAGGGATGTGTCTCCATGAAGGACGACACTTCTAAACTTTTCCTGGTCTTCTTTGTGGAATTTGCTGAGCAATCTCACAGAAGCCATTTGCCTTTCTATAGATCTTTCTTTGGCCTTTCTACTCTCTATGCCAGTGGTTCTCAACCTTTCTAATGCCGCGACCCCATAATACAGTTCCCCATGTTGTGGTGACCCCCAACCACTTATACATCACCGAGTGCCAGGGGCGGGGCCAAAGAAAAGGAGAAAAAAATGGCGGACAGCCTTGTTTGGCAACCCGTGAAATGGTCGTTCGACCCCAAATGGGGTCCCGACCCACAGGTTGAGAACCACTGCTCTATGCTCTAGCACAAGGCCAGTTGCATAAAGAGTTAATAAATAGTTAAGTCACATTTTGCAAAGGGTTCCTTCTGCATTTAGGCAGCAGTTGACTCCACCTTCTGAAAAGAACCACCTGTGATATTCACTGTCTGGCTCCAAGAAGACATGATCCAGCGCCCATTTATGTTTTCCTCATATCTGCAAGCAAGTCCCAGGCTTCCATCGCCGTTGGCATATAGGAAGGCTACTGACATATTTAGAGTAAGAAGCCCAGAGTCTCTGCTGCTCCTCAGAAGACCTTCACTGCTGGAGGCCATTTCTACACCCTTCCATGAGAAATGGAACCTTTTGGTGCTATTGCCCTCATTGGGCACACACAGGATTTGCAGGACTTTGCCTTCCCGCAGGGATCCAGAGGGAGGATGCAGCTTCAACACTGGGGGAGGCAGAGGATCTGGAGAAGAGAAAAATGGGAATTAGCTTGGTGGCACTTGGACTCCACTGTCTCCAGGGTGGAGACTTTCTGGGACTTCATCAGGGAAACGCTTTCATATGCAGGCTCTAAATAAATAAAGCCCCAGTTATAGGGATCCACATTTTCAAAATGAAGAGAAAAAAAATCCGCACCTCTCACCACAATTGAGACAGGACGACTCCACTCTGAAGAGATGGTTCTCCCATATTTCTGTTCTAGGTACCGGCATTTATATAATCCAGAATCATCCCTTGTAACTGTGAGGACCAGAGAGTTCTCTTCATGACAATCCAGATCCTTTATAGAGATCTCGTTCTCATTTTTTCTTATTTGGGAAAACAGGTACTGTCTCCAGCTTTGAACAACGTTGTTGGGAGCGGAGCACCTGAGAGAAATGTTCTCCCCAACCAGATACAGAGGTTCTGAAGGATCTGCAGAAAGGCTGGGAACTGGTGGAGGATCTAGATAGATCCAGAGAGGAAAGAGAAGTGAGTATCAAATGTCCTTCAGGCAGTCCCAGGATTATCTTGACTGGCACCCATCAACACATCTAACTGCACTAAAGGTCTTGGTTGGACTTTCCTTCCTTCAGAATGGAACTGATGACCTCTTCTCTTTCCTCAGAAAATACTCCTTGGAATCAAGAGGTTGAAGAAATCTAGATTGGGCAGCTTCACAGCCTGAATATCCCCGAAATCTCACTAATATTCCTTCACTCTCCAGGGATATTCTAAGGAGACAGAATCTTGGCGAGGAAGCACCAAAATCTCCCTGCTCCAACGTGGTGAAGGTGTGCAATATCACATTTCCTTCAGCTTTCCGGCGTAAAAGAAATTGGTCTGCTTTCTCTGTCTCTTTTTTGTTTCGAGAGCAATAAAATAAACATTTTTTATTTAATGAATTAAGGAACACAGATTCTTGAAAGTACTGCTTTTTGTCGTAGGAATCTCTTAGGCATCTTTCTAACAATGTGAACAGTATTTCTCAACCTTGACGAATATGAATTTGTGAACTGACTCCCAGAATTCCTCAGCTAGTATATGGAATTCTGGGAGCTGAAGTCCATGCATCTTAAAGTTGTCAAGATGGAGAAACCGCGATGTAAACACTTTATAAATTAGAAGAAAGTTCCTTACTGATGATAGTGAATTCAGCCCGATTACTCTTTTGTGACAAAGTTCTTCTTCCTTCCCTGTTTCTTCCCATGTAAGAACAAGAAAATTTTGCTTTTGGGGCCATTCGTATTGCCTGAATCAGCAGAGTATTTCCGATCTGTTCTTGATATCTTGTCTCTTCACCCTTTTCACCGGTGCGATAGAAAATGTAATATTCTCCCTTCTGTCCTCCTGGGGGGGAACATTTTAACTCTATCTGTTCTCCTTTAAGGAGAGTTTGGTAAGAAGGCGACCAGGACAAGGTAGAAGGTGCTGGAAGATTCCGAGTAGTCCTCTGCAAATCTGAGAAACAAAGGAAATTTGGAAAGAATCCCATAAAAATCCTTGCAAGCTATTAAGCAGAATTGTCTTGCAAGAACCCAAGAGAAACCCATAGGGTAGAAGTAGACAGATGCAACCAAATTACCTCTTCCCAAATAAAAGTCTTTACAAGTAGTCCTTGACTTACGACCGGTTGCTTAGTAAATGCTTGAAGTTAGGATCAACCTCAAAAAACTGACTTACAACGCAGATTCAAAGTTCTGACACCAGGCTCTATTATGATTGCAAATTGAGGATTACTTGTACATCCAATGACTGGAGATTAGGCTCAACAATTGTATCAATTGACAATCAACAATTCCTTAATAGAAACCCAGGCGTTGAGAACTAGAGGTGAACAAAATGTGGCCTTCTGCGTAATGGATTGCAATTCCCATCATCCTCTAGCATTGGCCATATTGGACAGGGCCCATGACAGCTGGGCTTCCATAACATCTGGAGGGCCTGATGTAGACATTGATCATATTGGTGACAAATAGGAAACCTCTGCATCAAATTCAGCGTAAGAGATCCTTTTTTGTGTCTGGAGATTTGTATCTCTGAGGGCCTGGCCTATTAATTTCTTAAAGTGATCCATGAATTAGCCTCAACCAGAGATGGCCAATCTGAATTGTTTTGTCGATGCCATTGTGAAGATCAGCAGTTAGCTAAGGCCTCCTTTGACTCATGTCACATGAAGCAAACAAAATAGAGGTTGACCACAAATGTTTCAGATCACAGGAAATGCTAGGGTAAGCAGGCTATTGTGACTTTGTGGCTGTGCTAAAGAATTTTGCAAAGTGGGCCCTTTACTGGACCAAAGAAAGGGAATGTGGCAGTTTGCTGAATCTATAGTCAAGGATCTCCAGGTGAAGATCCAGTTCATTTTTATCATATTGACTGATATGAGCATTGGGCCCTGTCCAAGAAAGTGCAGTCCAGTGGTGAGAAAAGTAAGGTTTTACACTGGACTAGAAGACCTCCAAGGTCCCTTCCAGCTCTATTCTATTCTATTCTATTCTATTCTATTCTATTCTATTCTATTCTATTCTATTCTATTCTATTCTATTCTATTCTATTCTGTATTTTATTATTCTATTCTATTCTATTCTATTCTATTCTATTCTATTCTATTCTATTCTATTCTATTCTATTCTACAGGGTCTCCATGCAGAGTCTCCAAGATCTTTTGTCAGATCTACCTCTTAAAGTCACGCATTCAAAGTCTGATCTGAATCTTTGTTCTTCGTGAGGAGGAAACATAATCAATCCACATGGATCTATTTTATCTGATATAAAAAGAACTACATTCCACTTGAGGCAACTGAAACAGACAAGATCTAAATCATTAGATTTGCAACAGATACCCATTTTCCAAGGGAGAAAGCAAATGCCCTCTAAAATTTAAGGAAAAGAAGTGAGAAACACAAAGGTTTCTAAGAAGTTAAATCTCATTATTCATCCTGTTCATTAAGGACAAGAGGTTGTATTTCTGTGCGAGGCTTTTCACTTCTTTGCCACTTAAAATGATTCCTGGAGAGGATTTTTCTTTTTCAGAAAGAAGATAAAAAATAAATAAATAAAAAAAATCACTTCTCAGAAATAAGAAAAAGGACAATTGGGGAATTTTTCAGTTTATACCAGTTTGATAGCTCTTCTTCTGATATTAACCACATATTCTCAAGCATAATGGTGAGGATTTATTCCCCTCTCCCTCTTGGGAGAGCAGTTCCATCTCCTTTCTCCCATTTCATCTCAGAAAACGGAAAATGTAGAAGCGAAGAAATTAGATGTACCTTGGGCAGTGGATTCGCACAGAAGGATCTGGAGGAAAACTGGAAGAAACAAGAAGCGAGGCAGAAAAATTATGGCGGGAACCAGAGAAGATGCAGAGGGCCAAGAGAAGTGAGAAATCTTCAATTCATTTTCCAAGTGGTAGTCTCTCTGCTCCAGGAGATGCTCCATTTGGGGAACTGGGATCTTCTCAGCACCACCACAGCTCTGCCTTCTGAGCCGAGGATGACAACCTGGCCTGCAAACATTTCTCTTCACAGCAATCAGCAGGAAAGGAAGCACGTCATCAACACCTCTGCACCACCCTCCTCTTCCCTTTCCCCAGCGAGGACAACCCAGCTCACTGCTCAGCTTTGGGGCCTTCTTGACCACAGCAAACCTTTCCCGCAATCTCACAAGAGTATCTCACCACCCCTGGTCCCAGGCGTCCCATTGCCAAGTCCTCTGTGCAACTACGGAGCTTAAGAGCCGCAAATAATAGAATTGGTCTGGAACTGACAAAACTCAGAGCAAAAGGCCAAATTTCCTTTACACGATGCTTTTACTCTCCGCTTTAGAGATTCTCCACCAGCTCCGAAATCCCCTCCTTTCCTGCGATCTAGAGGCTCCTTCATTCCCAGTTCCACCAATCCATCGTGTAGCATCTCTGCTACGTCATCAAAGTTAGCTACCAGGATCCACAGTGCTGCTCAGAAACTCAACCACTATTAAACTACTATAGAAGGTCATCAAAAATAGTTGACTGGTTGACAAGGCCCATCATCGCTTCCAAATGTTCTTCTCAGCCAAAATGACCAAGGAGACGATAAATTCAGGAAAAGAGCCCCCCCCCAAGTCAGAACCCTATTTATTTAATTTTCTTTCTGCTACTTCTCTGCTGCCTCAGTCAGACAAGTCTAAGCAGCTTAAAAGTCCTGCAACAGAGCATCCATACACTACTAACAAAGCCAGGAAAAGTTGACAAAATTACCTTCCCCCCCCCTTGCTTTCATTTTGATCTTTATTGGCAATTCCAACTGGATGATAAAAAACAGCACCAGATGAATGATGCTCAGCTAGGAGATAAATCAGTCAATCAAATCCACCTCTCATAAAAGGCAGACTTGGCTATTGGCCAGCTGATGGGCTGGCCTAAAAGGTTTTTTGGGATCCTTCCTAGGGAGAAAGCAAGATACTGTTTGATTGATTAAGGGTGAGCATCCAGCTTCTTATTCCAAATTTACTTATTTTTGGAATGTAAAAGCCTCTGTGTCTTTTAATGGGCAAGATTTCCTTTGAGAGGATCTCAACTCCTGGTGACCAGTTTTTTTGACAATAGCATGAACACCATTGGCCCTTGTCTTCATCCAAGGTGGTTTTCCAGTGTTTCAGTTCTGGATTTCTTGAAGAAATCAGGAGGAAGAAGAAGATGCTTTGAAAAGTATCCAGAGCTGCTCAAGCTTTTCTTTCTGAGACCAGCCAAAGTCAAACTGGCTTTTTCCAAAAGTGGAGAGGATTTTTCACACCAAAGATTAAAACGGAAATTTTGTCCAGCTGGAATGGAAGAAGCTACAATTAAGTTCCAGAAGTGACCTTTGGAAAGTCTACCTAAGAAGGGTATTTTAATGCATTTAGGCAGATATTTACTATTCTGAGCATTTATAGAGAGTCCGCACTGTCGAAGCAAAAAGTCAACCGGGTCATTCCCTCAGAGATATTTGGGAACTTCTAGAACAGTGATGGCAGACCTTTTAGAGACTGAGTGCCCAAACTGCAACCCAAAACCCACTTATGCATCGTCGGGTGCCAGGTGGGTGTGGCCCACTGGGTGGGTGTGGCCCATTGGCTGGGTGTAACCCATTGGGTGGGCATGGCGGTGGCGGAGACCTAAAGCGAAAAGATTTTATAAAACCCAGCTGAAGGCCTAGGACTGGGGCAATGGCGCACGTGCCCACAGAGAGGGCTTTGCCGCCTCTGGCACCCGTGCCATAGGTTTGCCACCACTGCCCTAGGAGCTGATTATCACACTTTAGAAAAAATATTTGTATGGTTTATAGAGAGCTCTTCTCCCTATCAATTTATTTTTAATGCTGGGAAGAGGAACAAAGGAGAGATATTCAGGAATGTTGAGGGGGGAAGACCAATTTCATGATGGAACATCAACAATCATAGGTATTCCCTCCCCCCCGCCCCCATTTTTGTGTCTTCTGTCCTCAAAGCCAATCTTTTTCTCTCTCTTCCTTCTTCCAATCTCTTTGTTTTGCCAAGAAATTTGCAATTGTGTCCACCTTCTCCTCTTTCACATTTGGGGACCTTCATTTGGGGACTTCTTGAAATCACCATCAGCTTCATGCTTTCCTTCAACCAAAATTCAACATGTTATCTCCGCCTCCCTTTTCTTCCGAAATACCCCTCAAATATCTGGCTTTCCAACATGAATGGCCACTCCTTCATCTTCATTTGAGGAGGGGAATAGTCCCCAAAGACCAGGAAGTGATGAAATCTTGGATGGACCTTCATCAAAGGCCAATAGCTTACTGGTGTACACCGCTTAGAGAGTGCTTGCACTTAAAGCGGTATATAAGTCTCATAAATAAATAAATAAATAAATAAATAAATAAATAAATAAGGCCAATCCGAGATGCTATTAAGAGGGGACTGATAAATTTGAAGGGCAAAACTCTGATGTTTCAGACACAGCCAATGCCTTTAAGAGCTGTTTTAGTGGAACCTACTGCTCTTCGACGTTATTGCCACTTTAAATGTTTCTTTATTAATGCTTTGCTATTCTTTTTATTGCACGTGTTTTGGGCTCCACTTTGGAAATGCATGGCTTAGGACAAGAAGGGGAAGGAATTAGGTCAGATACAGAGGGCTGACATTTAGGTCATAAGAAATGCAAACAGACTTGGCTTCTTGCCTTTTACACCTCTTATCTCTCTTTCTTCAGGTTCCTGGGCAGATTCATCTCTATCAGTT